GGCATGTGCTTCGACGCCACAACGGCGTGCAGTGCAATGTACATCGATCATTCTGCCAGGGGCTCCGCACGCCGCTTTAGCGAGCCTACTTTTCGACCCTCCGGAGCCCCAAATCATTGGAAAAACACAGTATTTCGCTACTTTCCTACCTTTTCGCGCATCTGCATCTTCTTTCTTCTGACTCTTTCTCTTCTACTCTTCTCTCTTCTAATCTTTCTCTTCTCTCTGCCTCTGCCCTACTCTGCTTCTCATCTGTCCATATTGTCGGAAGTTTGACTTCTAAACTTCCTTCGATAATTTATGTAATGTATGCAATGTATGCAATGTATGTAATGTATGTAATGTATGTAATGTATGTAATGTATGTAATGTATGTAATGTATGTAATGTATGTAATGTATGTAATGTATGTAATGTTTGTAATGTATGTAATGTATGTAATGTATGTAATGTATGTAATGTATGTAATGTATGTAATGTATGTAATGTATGTAATGTATGTAATGTATGGAATGTATGTAATGTATGTAATGTATGTAATGTATGTAATGTATGTAATGTATGTAATGTATGTAATGTATGTATGTATGTATGCATGCATGTATGTATGTATGTATGTATGTGTGTGTGTATGTATGTATGTATGTATGTATGCATGCATGTATGTATGCATGTATGTATGTATGTATGTAATGTATGTAATGTATGTAGGTATGTAATGCATGTATGTATGTAATGTATGTATGTAATGTATGTATGTAATGGATGTAATGTATGTATGTAATGTATGTATGTAATGTATGTAATGTTATGTAATGTAATGTTATGTAATGTAATGTAATGTAATTCAATGTAATGTAATGTAATGTATGTTTGTTTGTATGTATGTTGGTTGGTATGGTATGGTATGGTACGGTATGGTACGGTAAGGTAAGGTAAGGTAAGGTACCGTAGGGTATGGTACGGTATGGTACGGTATGGTATGGCATGTTATGTATGTTATGTATTTTATGTATGTTATGTATGTTATGTATGTTATGTAGGTTATTTATGTTATTTATTTTGTGTATGTTATGTATGTGATGTATGTTATGGTATGTTATGGTATGTTATGGTATGTTATGGTATGTTATGATATGTTATGGTATGTCATGGATGGATGTATGCATGGATGTATGCATGGATGTATGCATGGATGTATGCACCGATGTATGCATGGATGCATGCATGGATGTACGCATGGATGTATGCATGGATGTATGCATGGATGTATGCACAGATGTTTGCACGGGTGTATGCACGGATGTATGCACGGATGTATGCATGGATGGATGGATGGATGCATGCATGGATGTATGGATGTATGGATGTATGGATGTATGGATGTATGTATGTATGGATGTATGTAGGTAGGTAGGTAGGTATGTAGGTAGGTATGTATGTATGTATGACGTACGTATGTAGGTGTGTATGTATACATCAACATCATCATAATCATCATCATCAACATCATATCATCATCGTCGTCATCATCACCATCGTCATCATCATCATCATCATCATCATCATCATCATCACCATCGTCATCCTCACCATCATCATCATCGTCATCATCATCATCACCGTCATCATCACCGTCATCATCATCATCATCATCAAAATCATCATCATCATCATCACCATCATCATCATTGTTATCATCATCATCGTCGTCGTCGTCATCATCATCACCATCGTCATCGTCATCATCATCATCATCATCATCATCATCGTCATCATCATCATCATCATCGTCATCATCATCATCAGCATCATCATCATCATCATCATCATCACCATCATCATCATCATCGCAATACCCAGACAACTAGTCCTTCCCAAGCCCCATGACCACACCATCCGGTAGAAACGATTCTACCTCGATGCTCTCAGTGGATGCCAGCTCAGTTGGTGCCGGCCCAGCTGGCACTGGTGGCTTGGAATCCACCTGCAATGTGGGCGGTATCGTCAACAGCACTGAAACATAACATGATGATACATAATGTAACTCCGGTACAATGATTATGATATTATGCGATAGATAGCACCGGCTTAGGGCTACAGTAACACCCGCGCAAGCTGTTCCCTCTGCAATTCCTCGCGAAAAGACAGTGAGTCTAAACAAACCAAAGTAACTAGGGACTCCAACCTGTGGAGCTCTGCATGGCCTTAGCCGAACTTGGGAAAGCTGGCCCGAAAGTCGCAGACAGTTGCAGACAGTAAAACGCTCAGCAAATCTGCGCAGCTTCGCCCCTATTTTCTGTACTTCATCCTTGGGCGTCCGCCCGTAAGCTGAAGTCTTGGGGAAAAACGGATCCAAAAATCAGAATTTCAGCCTGTTACGGCCTTCACAAATCATGACACATCAGGTGTCACCTGTTTTTTAATCTTGTCATCTCTTGTCATCCCCCGTGGTTTTTGATGGGTTGCTTCACGAGTCAGGAAGCCTTACACCCAGTCCTCAGCGTCGTGCTTCCTCCAAGGCCTTGCGGATACGATCCACGCTGTCCTGCTCCTCAGCCAACTCGGCTTCCTGTTGCTTGGCCCAGTTCTTCAAGTTCTCCTTCACGTCCTTGCCGGCCTGCAACGCTGCAACATAACATGAAAACAAAATGGATAAAAAAAGAAAAGACGACTGAGATGGTGCCAAAGTGATTCATATTCACACATGGATTGTCTTGGAACTGTGTTTTCCACTGTGTTAGCAAAATGTCCACAAACCAAGCACCCACGCCTGCTCATACTCCTTGTTCCAAGCATCGAAGGCCTTCTCAGCCTCCGCCTTGTTCTCGAAGACACCCAGCAAGTAGCGGTTGCCAAAGGAATCAATGGCTTCGGACTTGTAGAGCTTCTCAGCCTCATGACATGCAAACCATTCAAATGCCTCCTGTAGTAGGATGCAATATTGGGTTGAGTGAGGTGTATTGCTTGACATCATGGTTTGAGCTTGACAGGGTTTGGCATTGTGACCTCAATTCATCACGATGTGGCAACTCCTTGCCCCGCGGCTGGTGTTGGTTGGCATACATACATGACCATGAATCATACACGTATTTGACATGATGAGACATGACATCAGATGGATACACGTGAATCATCTATATAATATGCGTGTATTCCTGATGTATACAGTATCGGAACATGAATGTATCAGATTATACCCAATTAATTTTATGAAGGTTTCCTGAAATGGGGATACCTCCAAATCCGCCCACACCGCTTTGGCGGTGAAGGCGTGCTTATTGGGGGGCAAAACAGCAACACTAAATGCTCAATGACATTTGTTAATATAGCAGTCGCTATATCAGCTTTAGCTGGGGGGGGGGCCCAAAAACGGTTTCGCACCGAGACCAGAATACGGTGGTGTTTTCGACATTTTTCGAGGATTTTTGGGTGTCTGAGCGCAAGAGGGTATTGAAACGGAATTTTGGGTCATTTTGGTAGCTTTCCGGCAATGGAAAAACGGCCAAAAATGAAAAAAACATTGTACATAGCAAGATTTTGCAGGGTTTTTGGATGCCAGAGCATTGAAAACACTGCAAAAACAAGTGTTTTGGACTGACGTTATAGCAAAAAACGTGTAAATTACCGTATGCTTGACTGGAAACATTACAAAAACACTGTCAAAAGCAATGTTTTGGAAGGATTTACTGCCTTTATGGCAAAAAACGTGTAAATTACCGTCTGTTTGACTGGAAACATTGGAAAAACACTGTCAAAAACAATGTTTTGGAAGGATTTCTTATATATATGTTGGAGTTGGCTACCGGCATTGGAACATGGAAAAATTGAAGAAAACACTGTAAATAGCGGTATTTTCAACGGTTGGGGAGATAAGGGAATTGGAAGCATTGTCGAACATGATGTTTTCGACCGGTTTTATGGCGACAAAAGTGTAAAGTACCGTGCTTTGAAGGAAACCATTGCAAAAACATGGAAACACATTCAAAGAACACGGGATTTGGGGGACTATCTAGGCGCCGTTGTCTAGCTATTTGAAATTCCGCAGCTTGGAGAGCCTCCAAGAGAGGGAAAAGTGAAAATTCCATAGCTTGGGAAGCTGTCACGGCGGGGAAAAGTGAAAATTCCCTAGCTGAAGCCCCCACGGGGGGAAAAGTGAAAATTCCCTAGCTTGGGGAGCCCCCACGGGGGGGAAAAGTGAAAATTCCCTAGCTTGGGGAGCCCCCACGGGGGAAAACCACCCTTAGCCCCTCTCACGGACCGAAATAAACCTGCGGTGTGGGCGGCCACCCCACGCGAAGCGGGGTGAATATCTCCAAATCATCTATTTTAATAGGATTTTCCATAACAAAAACCATCCAGCTATTGGGGTATCCCGATGACTATGGAAACCAAGGCACAGTGCCCCAGCTGTGCTTGAACTCGCCCTCAATGACGGCGGGCTCCTTGGCCAAGTCCACCAACATCCTGAGCCACTGGGGGTCCATAAAGGGCCATAAGTTAGGCCATAAGATGCCAGAAGTATCCATAAATCCCCAGTAGATTGGTGGATTCCAAGTATAATTAATGGATGTTCTACTGGAAAAACATACACACTCCCAGTATAGCTTCGCCAGTTCTGGTGGATTTTGCCATGAGAAAATAAGAACATCGGTTCAACATGTTTCAACCTACTGACTTCAGCAAATCCAGGCATCTCTTCATCCAGCGGCGCCACGGGAGTGTCCATGTGCTTTGGAAGCTCAGCCCAGATCTGCTTGACGATGTCGGCCTTGGTCTTGCCGGGCATCTCCTTCTGCGATCGGAAGAACTTCTTCAAGCCCTCCACCTCCTTCTCCACCTCAGCACGCGTCTTGTAGTATCCTGAGACGATCTCGCCGGCGCGCTTCCACCACATCTCATCCAACTCGCTCTCTGACTTGCCCTCCTTTTGGGCCTCAAAATACATCAAAATACCAGGCTGCTTTGTGTAAGAGGTGCTCAATATGACCAACTGTCAACAAATGTTCAAACACCGAGTTTGCATGATTTTGTCACAAGCTCACGCAAGTGAAGACTGTCAAAGCCAAGACTTCTTGCTCACTACAGGATGCTAAGTTTGTCCCAAAACCACTGTCGGTGTGCTGCTAGCAAAGCCGCATGCTCCTATCTGGATCCTCGTTGCAGCAAAGGAGCTCCAACCTCTCCAGCCACAGCTTTCAGGTCGTCAATGAGCTTACGAGGCAAAGACACAGCAAAGTCCTGCCATGGCCACGTACTTTTGGTGTTTCGAAGATGTGATACTAGTTCAATGAAATTCCATTCATGTTAATATGTTTTCATATCTTGTTTGAACATTTGGAGCACAAAGAGTTGCAACCTGTTGAAGCCTTGGGATCCTTTGGGATCCGTTCGAAGCAAATTCGCTGATGGCTCCCTCAACGGTGAGGCAACTTATGGCAACTATTTACTTTACCATTTCTCAGATTTTCTCAGTGCCCTGGGAACCCACTTTGTCTCCAACAGGAAGACTTAAAAATCCTGGCGCATTCGGATTCCACTCCTCGCCAGCTGCTGGAATGGTGAACTTCTCCAGAGCCGCCTTCAGCTTGGCAGCCTCAGGGGGTGCATCTGCCATGGCCTTCTTCATCTGTTCCAGCTGCTTCACGTTGTTGGTGTGATTCTCACCCTCATTGGCGAACTTGTAAATCTCCTGTATCAAAGGAGGATCAAACAATGATCAAAGGACATTCAAGGAGCAGAAAAGACATGAAAAATCGTGAAAAGACTGATAGATTCAGCGAAAGCCCCTCAAGTCATGATGCCTAGCATTGAAATACGCAGTTGTTTAGCCGAAGCGAAAAGGCAGCAGCACAACTCATCTACAACCACGTACAAACATCAACCAATCCAAACGAGGTCCGAAGGTGCAACATGCGCAACATGCGCAACATGCGCAACATGCGCAACATGAGCCGAAAGCGTCCTCCAGAGGAGCAGAGTTTGCGCCAACCTCGTCCTTGTCTTCGGCCAGCTTCATCTTGTCGGTGGCAAAGGACCAGCGTCGGTCTGCGTCACGGTCCACCTCAACGATGGCCCGCTTCAGGCTGAAGTCGTAGGCCACCTGATTGGCCTTCTTCTGAAGGGCGTCATAGTCAGGAGTCTTCATGGCAACGTCCTCGCCATGAGATGCCATAAGCCATCCATCCCAAAGAAAAGACCTTAAAATGCTTGTCAAGCATTGTATATATATCTTATTTGTATATGTCTTATTTGGCTAAAAATAATGATTGTCTGTTGAATTCGTGTGGGAGCCACAGTAAAACTCATCAAAACCCCCAACCGGTCCTTCTTGTAGTCCTCCCTCTCGTTGTCGAAGAACTTCTGCAGGACTTTTCCGAAGGACTCAATCTTGTCCTCGGACACGCTCTTCTTGAACTCATCGCTGGCCCTGAACTTCTTGTTGAACTCGTTCTGTGCCTGCTTTAGCAAAAGTGCCTGATCTTCCGAGCTCAAGGTGTCTTTCCATGCATAGAAGTCATCCTTGAACCCTCTCATCTGCACCTTGCTTGTTCTGCTGCTGCTGCCGCTCATCACGAAGCCGCTTTGGGCAGTCGAAGTGAAGAACTTGGCGACAGCTGCCAGCAGCAGCACAGGGAGTAGCCGATTCATTCCACGGGATGCCATTGCTGGAAACGGCAAATCACAACAATTACTGGCAGCACGACACGCGGAGCCGGTTTTGACCTGGTATTGAGCCAAGGTATCAATGCAGCATTTCACAGAATGCTATGCAACTCTCACATGTAGGCGGATGAGCTGCAGAAAAACGCAGGAGATCATGAGATGACGGCTTAATTTATGTCATCCAAACCCGTGTTCGAAGTGATACAACTCGATCTTGGCCCGCGACATGGGCCCAAGGACGGCTCGAAACTGCCACATGCTGCAGCATCTCTCGAACCTCAGCGAATGCGTGATGGTTAGCATCCATGCAGCTGCCCACACACCTCTAGTTAGCAAAAAAGTGACTGCAAGCAGATAGACTATCTAGGGCCTAGGATTTTTGGAGGGTATGTTGCGAATTGTACGTGGATACCACTGACATATCTGACATCTCCTGACCATGTTCAAGTTCAGACCTTGATGCTTTGACCTGCCAAGAAGCCAGCGGCAAACCTTGGGAAACGCTGTCCAAAAGCCGGACGCAGCGACGAAGCCCTCCCGGAGGCAGCAGACCTGGCTGGCGCATCGGCTTGGATCCCATCCCCGGCCTAAACGGCAGCCCAGCGCACCAAAACGATGTCTGCCAAGGTCAGGAAGTCGCCAATCAGAAAGTCGCTCTGCAACAATTGTTTCTCTACCACCTTCGAAGACAGTACTCTCTCCAGGCTTCGGGGAAAATTGTATCTGTCGCAAACTCCATTTGGCTCGGTGGTTGCCCGAAGTACACCAGACACTGCAACGTGCATGAACGGTAATTACATCGCCTTCCAAATTTCATACCCTGACCATCCCTGACCTATCAATGGGGAAAGGGTTTGTCAATTGACTCCATTGCTTCACATCTTGTGACCATTTGTGACCCATGGCCGAACAGGTTTCGCCAAGCCACAGCTAAAGCTCTCTTTACATCCTCCTGCCGCACGCCAATGGGCTGGGAGCCTGGTGTTCTGATTACTTGTCGTGACTACCGAAGTGTGTGGCGTCAAACCTCCGCGACAAGATTGGGAACTCCAAAAGCCAAATTGAATGTTCTTTCGTGATTCAAAACGATATAGAGGTCACCCAATATAATTATGATGTATATGTATATATTAATATATATGATAAATAAGTAAATAAATAAAATAATGAATAAATGAATGAATAAATCAATAAATAAATGATAAATCAATAAATGGAGAATACAAAGATCTGGATTTCCATGCAGAGCTCTACGAAAAAAATAATTCTGCTTCTCAGGCTTACCAGGCCGCAAAGGCCACAGGTCCTGCGCAACTTTGATCGCAGATGTGGATTTCTCCATGAGGCCTTTGTGGCGGTAAATCCAATCCATCAAAGGAACCTCCACCTGCGCGCCACACAAAGCCCACAAAGCTTGGTGTAACTTGAAGGATTGATGAAAATGTTGGAAGCTTGTTGGAATTGTTTATGTCATGTTTACATTGTTTACTCTCACAGTGAGTCTCCTGCTTCAACCTCGGCCCAATTTGAAATTAGGATAAAATTCCAACCAAACTCCCAGCGGATTCCAGCGGATTCCAGCTGCTTCAAGGTGCCTCGTGCAGGGAGAATTCCAACCAATCTTCGATCTCGCTCTCATCAGTGAAGGTTTTGCCGTAGAGCTCAGTGTCCGCGCGGCACCGTGCCACGTATCTCAGGGCGGAAACAGCAAGAAACATTCCCCCAAGCTGGAACAAGGCATGTGTCCAAAGATGACATAAGGTGACGTAAGGTGACTAAATGACTATTTTGAGGCCTATCTTATACCTATGTTTGTCTACTTTGGTATCAATGCACTGGATGAACTCATGAAATTTAAGCTCTTCAATTGCATTCAATTGCTATGTCAATGTGTTCACTAGAATATATATCTATGTAGCACAACTATTCCAAAATTGCTGCAGTTCTTGTACACTACCCAAATCCCCGTACAATTCCACGTCTTTGACTATTTAGAAAACCAAAACAAAAGGAAATAGAGCTTCCACGGAAGAGTTCCGCATTTGTTGGGAATAGGACAATAAATTTGACACCACAAACTCATTCGACGCCTTGCCACAGCGGCGCTACCGCAAATGCAGCCATGTTTGGTCTCGAGAAAGGGGACCTGCACCATTCATTGCTTGCAAAAAATGCCAAAGTTTCAAAGACGGTGTGACTTCAGGCTTCTTGTGAAGCAGTTTCGTATTTGCTACAATCTACAAAAAATGCAAAAAAAAAAGTGTATAAGGCAACCTTCCCAGCCTGCAGTTTATCGAGGTACGACATACAGTAAGACTCTTCTTTGCCCAATGGTCCAATAGAACTGTGGCAATCTGTCGGTAGGGTTCCATCGTGGTTTACATTGCGACAATAAAGAAACAAGGCATGGTTGCATCCACCCTTGACAACACCACAAGGGCTGCTTGTTCACCTTGCCAATGGGGTTCTGCACCCGGAAGTCAGGCTTCTCAGAGTCCTGCAGATTTAGAAAAAATCACAGGCAACAGTGGCAACAGCAGCCAAATGGTCCCTCTTTCTCAAAAGAAACCCAAGATCAGACAGGTTGAGCTTTTAGGCGCGCAACAATATCCACTGCCAAAATGCGCGTTAGACCAAGAACGCAGCGACAGACCCTGCGCAAGCTTGCCGAGGAAACCGACGCCGTAGGTTGTTCAATGCCACAACCAGGAAGGCGAGAGAGCTAAAAGCAAGCAGCATTTAAAAGAGCCCACAGGGAGTCCAAATATCATCAAATATCAGTGTTTTTTTATGTCTGGGATATCCTTCAGATTTGAAATCTATTGAAATCTACCCTCTGGATCCCTCTGGCACAGAGTCTCGACATAGAATCTCCTTCTCGAATTTCGACGTGTTTAAAGACAGGCCGTTGAATTGTGCCGCGATCAAGGCCTCAACACAGCTTCAAAGGACAACTCTGTGGATCGTTTCGGTCACATACTGTAGACCAAGGCCGAAAATCTGAAGCTTGCGGCTTGTGAAATCCAATTGGCAGCAAATATATCGACTAGCATATTTGATGTTGACACTTATGACAAAAATTTAAATCTATATACGTATATGATTATGTATGCAATGTAAATCAATATTTATCAATGTGTTTTTTATTTCCAAACGGACTGTACTCGAGCAACGCGTGCCAGAGTGATTCAGCCATTAACTTTCAAAGGGTGACCTGTCGGCGTCCTGGTGGTGAGTGCTCAATCCAACAGATGGTGCCTTGTCAGCCTTGTATTTCAACTCTTCCAAGTAGTATAAAGTTCCCAGCATCGTTCCTCACCAAGTGGAGCACTTGGACGAAACATGACTTTTTCGGGTAGAAGCATCATTGCTAAGATCAGTAAGATCAGGCAGTAGCAGCAGTAGCAAGATGTAGCAAGAATAGAACTTCAGCAAGTTCCACATAGTTCCACCGAACGGGTTTCATCTGGAGGTCCTCTTTTCATCTACGGAATCCCATGCAGGTCCAGCTCTACGTGGCAGTGCATAATCGAAAAACACATTTACAAAAGAAAAACACAACCCCAATCAACCCCACAATCTGAGCTGTCCTGCTTTGGCTCGTGGCTCGTGGGATGTGCCACAAGCGTAGCGATCTTGAGCCAACTCTTGCAGAGCCCATGCAGCTTTGGAAACTCCCAGCTGGAGCCCACAGCGCCCAGGAACTGAGATCCACACCTTTAGACCAGTTCGGAAGAAGGTTTCTTGAACCTAGCAAAACGCTGGCAACCTGCCCAAACCCATCCAGCACTGGTGGGCAAGTAGAGGTACTGCAAGGCCAACAAAGACAATGGCAGGATTTTCCATGCAGTGAAGGTAGATATGGGCGTATTGCAAAGTGCGAATGATGGCCATCACTCAAGCCATCATCCAATTCCACCACAGTCGAATCATGACAATGTCCACAGAAAAAATTACTTTACTTCGTGTGATCCCCACCATGACATTTATACATTTTCTTACTGGCAAATCTTCTGGCATTCTATCTGACATATCTTCTGACATTCTATTTGGCATTCTATCTGGCATATCTTCTGGCATATGATCTGGCATCTCTTCTGGCATATCTTCTGGCATTCTATCTGGCAAATCTTCTGGCATTCTATCTGGCATATCTTCTGGCACTCTATCTGACATATCTTCTGGCATTCTATCTGGCATATCTTCTGGCATATATTCTGACATATCTTCTGGCATTCTATCTGATATATTTTCTGGCATATATTCTGACATATCTATCTGGCATATCTTCTGGCATTCTATCTGGCATTCTATCTGGCATATCTTCTGGCATATTATCTGGCATTCTATCTGGCATATCTTCTGGCATATATTCTGACATATCTTCTGGCATTCTATCTGGCATATCTTCTGGCATATATTCTGACATATCTTCTGGCATTCTATCTGGCATTCTATCTGGTATATCTTCTGACATTCTTTCTAACTTTCTTCTGCACATTCTTTGTCCCATATCTTCCTACTACATGAGGTCCGGCAGGGAACACTTGGCATGGATACTCGCGGTTGAGGTCCGGCAGGGAACACTGGGCGTGGATGGCCGTGGTTGAGGTCCGGCAGGGACCACTGGGCGTAGATGGCCGTGGTTGAGGTCCGGCAGGGAACACTGGGCGTGGATGGTCGTGGTTGAGGTCCGGCAGGGAACACTGGGCGTGGATGATCGTGGTTGAGGTCCGGCAGCGAACACTGTGGATCGCGAGTCGCAGTTGAGCAGGAGGACGAGGAGGACAACGAGACGAGGAGGACAACGAGAGGAGGAGGACAACGAGAGGAGGAGGACGACGAGAGGAGGAGGAGAGGAGGAGGAGGAGAAGGCAACTTAGATAAAATCTAACAACCCTCACCTGGCAGGTGGGGAACAACAGATTAAGTCTGATTATGCAGTTCAGAATTTCCTGAATGTTGTGACTGCAAGACTCACCAGGTTTTCACTGCTTGGTGATAGCCGCCTCATACACTTCCGAGTCTACGCGAGACAGGGCAGCCTGGGCCAGATGGCGCAGAGGATGAAGAGGGAGGGGGATATCATGTGATATTATCACTGTGAATCTACTACAGTAATCAATTACAAATCAAACCATATCAAATCTAGTCAATAGCCAACTTCAACATTGATCTTCTGCAGCTTTCGAGATTTCAACCTACCTGTTCCAATAATCTGTTCTCGTCCGCAGACTCGCCGGACAATCGCAAACCAGCAATCCATCCATGGCAATCCCCTCATGACCTTTGCAACCTCTTCGTCAATAGGTAGTGCCTCTGGCAAGGCCTCTGACAGCAAAGACATGCTGAGAGCGCGAGGCTGAGAGTGCAAGGACTTAGTGAATGACAGTAAGAGGTTCCTTGCCATTCGTGAATCTGAATTAGGTGAAGGCTGTGAAATGACATCTTCAAGTTGTACGTTCTGGTGGGCTGCCGGGAAATAGATTTGATGTCGTTATTACTTGTATTGGTATTGACCCCGGTGGGCCAGGGCCTTCTTTGGGGCCGCTGGAGGTTTCTCCTGGAGCAAAACTATCCAACTTTGAGATCTTTGAGTCTCAGAAGACCATCAGACCAAAACACAAATTCGTGCAAGGGAATGCTGCATCATCAAAGGTGCTTTCTCAAAAAGGTTGCATCCAGCAGCAGCATTGCTCCAGTTCGTCGGAACAAATGCAACGAACCGGATTTCCAGCCTCCACAGGCGGAGGTGGGGGTGCTGCCACCTCAACTCCAAGATGACTGCAACGTTGGTTTTCGATGTGATTTGGTATGTAAAATTCTACGCCTCATTTTCTGCGTCCTGTCAAGCCACCCATCAGGAATGAATTCCCTTCGAAAATTTGCAAATGTCGTTGTCACAAACTCCTTTCCCATGATCTGACACCCACTGCACTGGGCGACTGCCAGCTGCAATTTACAGAAGCGCCGACAACGATTCACACAGCACAACTTGGTCAGCTTAGTTCAGGACTCCCCATTTCTCCAAACAACTCTGCATGTTGAAGTAAGCTCCTCCCACCTCAGTGGCGATGAGCCGTGAGCCGTGAGCCATAGCTGCAATAGCTCAACCAAAGCAGCGCGCCCTGAGATATCAACATCTGCACGTCCGTCTGAGGAAATGAGACCTCAAGCAAAAACAACAGGAATCAAAACAACTGTGGATGATTCTACGCGCCTCAATAATGGAAGATTCTGTCACCATATTATATATCGCAAAGCGGATGAGAAGTCCTGCTCTCAAGTTCCAAACTTTCAATCATCTATCAGACCGTGAAGGGGCTTGGCCACTTCAATCCACTTCAAATCTGAAACCCAAATAAAGCAAAATCAAAGAAAAAAAATAGAATCAAAGATGAATCAAAGGCAGAGGTCTACTGTGACATATGTCCTAAGATGTGTCAAAAAGAAATACGGAAACCGTCTGTGGGTTCCTCAGCTTTGAACGTCCAGAACTGCCATCCAAGATGATGAGGGATGGGATTCCTCGCACCTGCAGCATGTTGCAAAGACGCTAACCAATGGGTATGGATCAAAATTAAAAGCCTGGGGACCACAGATTTTAGTTTAGTTTATATAGTATTAACCATCCAATTATCTGGGGTACCCAATTTTGACCCATACCCAAATGAATACAAATCAACAAGGCTGGGAATCTCCATCCAACAAAGCTTCAAATGCCGCTGGCATTCTGATCACGGCAGAAACTACGACATCTGCCCAGCTGCGCCTGATAGGTCATGCCCAACATTTCTTTTTGTGGTGATCCAAAAGGAAGAGCCCTGGCAGATCGACGGCACCAAGATCTCAACAGCAAAAACGGCCCTGGAAATCTGGCTGCATCTGCTGCATCTGTGGCCCTGGCAACCAAGGCATCTCTGCATAGTACCTGGGGGTAACTGATGCCCCTCGACATCCAACTTACATGGCAAATTTCAACATGTCTTGCAGTTGCGGATGACAAATCAACAAATTCAATGCTTTTATTAAAGGACAAAGACGGACAAAGATGGTGATCCTGACTGACTCGACATGTGTGCTTGTCAACATCTAGTGTGCTGCTGCGTGCAGTCTCAAATGTTGTACAAGCTGAGCTGGACTTCAGTGTAAAGCAGTTCATTCAAGAAATGACTCGAGCAAGGCTGACTGAAAGTGCGATCCAACCAAAGGATACCAAAGGGATTCAAAGAGCCGCGTCAAAGTTCACATCTTGGGACTCTGTGCGAAACTACAAAATAAATCTCACCAGCTTCCCCGTTGCGCACGACTGGAAGTCACCTTCTGATCCTTAGTCTCAGGTGGACACAAAGACGGGTATCAAGTCTGCAGAGCACATCATATCAAGGAACATACCAAATCTATGACCTCAAAGAACTTGAGAAGCATGCAAATTACGGGCCTTTGAAACTTTGGTGGAGAAAATGGGTCAAAGACATCAAGAAAGAAACGGTTCGGACCCAACGGAGATGAAAAAGCCCACAATAAAAATGGGACGAAGCTTGGGTTTTTTTCCAGTGGCATTCGTGACTGGTACATATTGGGGTGACAAGAATTCCCACAGGCAATGCCCCCGGTCCAGGCAAGATTCGGTCACTGGAAACAAAGACCACTTTGATTTGCCTGAATTCATCACGCAAATCAACAACTGCCAGCTGCAATCTGCTCACAGTTCAGCGGTTTTTCTTACTGTTTTGACCTCGCTACACAGACATGTAGAATCAAATCTACGAGTAAGACCATTTCCACGGATTGATTTCATGTCCGTGATTTCATCACCACTCCGAAACATCCGCCAAATCCTGTATGACATTGCCTGGATACAGGTGAGATCAAGAGTGGCAACACAATCGATGTATGTTGTGGCGTATCTTTCCACCACCGACATGCGGCCCAACATCTTCCCGAAATCCGAAGCTATCTGATGTTCAATCTCAATCATTGTTTATGTCAAAATTGAAAACTGAACATATGAAAACCTAAAGAACAACGCCCAGCACAGGGTTTCCCAACGGATAGCGATCACCCGCCATGGCTGCCGCAAGCTGCGGCGTGAAGCCACGACCTTCCAGAGTTGCTCCAAGCTATTCTGGGTCGTAAACCCAATAAACCATCCCCAAAGTCACCAGCTTTATGTGTGCTATAAACCATCAATGGTAGATGTAGGGCATTTTCTTTCCCACATGAAACATATCTGGGCCAGGAAGCACAGAATCCCAATGGCAGCTGAAGATTTGAGACCCCAGGCATGGTGGACACCAATGGGCGGAGAAATAGAGCGCCACCTGTTTGAAATTGGGGGTGGATCGAGGCTCCGGGGATTGGGATGAGCTGGGGTATAGAAGCATTGTTGGTCTATAGTCTATAATATAGTTTTAAGCTTTGGATTTCTATACCAAACAAGTTGATATAAAACCTGCATGAAATTGTGGATGCTCAGATTGTGTGTTTACAGTTCCCGCACTCGTATTCACACAGCCGTTTTTTTTGTAGCTAGCTTGTTGGGCGAGATGTTGAAATGGAGAGCAGTCTGCCCAGCATCCATTGGCTAGGCTGCAAACTGGTAAACTGTTCGTTAAGCTGAGGAGGTTCTCAGCCTCCGATACCCTGCTGGGCTTGCGCGCTATGCTGGCCCCCTGCAGGGCTTGCGCAGTTGGCTGCAGCCTGAGTTGAAGCCGTTGGCTGCTTCAACCCACTACTACGACTGCTATATCAGAAATCTGAAGGCGCTATATATGCGTTATATATATGTGTGTGTGTGTGTCTATATATATATATATACACATATATATATAGTATAAATCTGACCCTTTCATGAAGATATACAGCGGATTTTATGGGGATGATATAGCCAACAATATATCACGGGGGTGTGTCCAAGAGTGGGGAATTTACACCTGAATGGGCATCTGTGATGCCGACATCTTTGGGGAAGGCCATCCCTGCACATGTTGCCTCACGGATGACTCCGGGGTTATCTGAGTCGCAGGCCCTGATTTGGTCACCAACTGCTGGCCAAGGACACCCTGTCGACAAGGTCTCAAGACTTGCTTTTGGGCGGCAACGTACAAAAGGGATCCCAAAGCTCTTGCAGATACCATCTTTCTTCCTGTCAAGGTTTCTCAAATGTGAAAACGCTTGGGTCGCATATTGTAGTGGAACACACATCTTATTGAGCACGTGTCACAATTCAAAGAGTAGGAGCTCCTCTGTGGCACAAGTCTTGGTGTCAACAAAACAGCACAGTCTGGGTGCCTCAGCCCAATGGCCAGTCCCGCTGGGCGTGGCGCCTTCGTTGCGGATGGGATTGGATTAGCACTTGGACTTGTCCAAAAATGGGATACCCCATTGAGTTTATGGTTGATCACCATAATATATCATAATTATTCCCCATGACATGTTATTTGTTAGCATTGAATGGTCACTTGAACCCAAAAAACACCGTTTTCGGAATAGCTGTCCCTGCAATGAGGCAAGCATGCTCCCTTCCCCAGCACCTGCTGCTGGCAAACCTGCGCCACAGCGGACGCAGCCAACACAAGCTGCAGCCAATGTCACGCCAAAATGAAAACACCAACGCAATCAACAAAGCTGGCACAATGGAAATTTCGATGGATTGTGTCTTGTTAAGTTATATTTTGGCCATATCATGGCGAAGTCAACCCTAGAAATTGGTTTCATGACTATCCCAGTTTCACTCAAGCAGCCTGACCTGTTGCAACCGACGCGGGGATACCTTGGTGATTCACAAAGCTTCCAACAGGCAGCGGATTTGATGGTTCATGTCTGTAGAAAACCTATTCTGGTTCAGGCCTTCCAAAAACAAAAGGTCTTTGGGGTCCCAAGGTCAATCGTTGGGCGGTAGATGGATGATTTTGTTGGTGTTTCATCATGTTTCCCTCGGGTTGATGTTTTCGGCCGTGACCCAGGCCCCAGAAACATAAACTCCTTCGCCGCTTCCGTCAAGCAGCCATTGAAGAGGTAATCCACAGCGCGTTCTGGGTTGTTGAACGCTGCTGACAAAGCCTGGCACAGCATCAAATAACCCGCCATTGACTTCGCCAATGGAAATAACGTGACTGTAAACTGTAGACTGTAAACTGTAGATATATCTATACAGTCTATACATTTCTTTAGAAAATATTTACATATAATGATATCATGCATGTCATATATACATCATATGTATATATATATATATACATACATACATACATATCTCAAAGACCTATCTATCTCATATATTTTTCGTGGATTCTCAGCCGCCTGCTCCACTTTGGGTCGATCAAAACCCATGGCACAGAGCTGCGCAATGACCTCCGGAGGCGCCGAACCTCGACCGCAACAACGCAACGATTTCACCGGTGAAAATGCATTAAACCAAACAAAATATTGTGACATTATAGTATGCAAGTATGTATGTATGCATGTATGTATATGTGTATGTATGTATGTATGTATGTATGTATGTATGTATGTATGTATGTATGTATGTATGTATGTATGTATGTATGTATGTATGTATGTATGTATGTATGTATGTATGTATGTATGTATGTATGTATGTATGTATGTATGTATGTATGTATGATGTATGTATGGATGTATGGATGCATGGATGTATGTATGAGTATGTATGTATGTATGTATGTATGTATGTATGCATGGATGTATGTATGTATGTATGTGTATGTATGTATGGATGTATGGATGTATGTGTATGTATGTATGTATGGATGTATGTATGTATGTATGTGTGTATGTATGTATGTATGTATGTATGTATGTATGTATGTGTGTATGTATGGATGCATGGATGTATGTATGAGTATGTATGTATGTATGTATGTACGTACGTATGTATGTATATGTATGTATATGTATGTATATGTATGTATATGTATGTATATGTATGTATATGTATGTATATGTATCTATATGTATCTATATGTATCTATATGTATGTATCTGTATGTATCTGTATGTATCTGTATGTATGTGTATGTATATGTATGTATATGTATGTATATGTATGTATATGTATGTATATGTATGTATATGTATGTATATGTATGTATATGTATGTATATGTATGTATATGTATGTATATGTATGTATATGTATGTATGTATGTATGCATGCATGCATGCATGGATGTATGTATGTATGTATGATTATGTATGATTATGTATGATTATGTATGATTATGTATGTATGTATGTATGTATGCATGGATGTATGTATGGATGGATGCATGGATGTATGTATGTATATGTATATGTATATGTATATGTATATGTATATGTATGTATGTATGCATGGATGTATGTATATGTATATGTATATGTATATGTATATGTGTATGTATATGTATATGTGTATGTATGTATGTATGTATGTATGTATGTATGCATGCATGCATGTATGATTATGTATGATTATGTGTGTATGTATGTATGTATGTATGTATGTATGTATGTATGCATGTATGTATGTATGTATGTATGTATGTGTGCATGTATGCATGCATGCATGTATGCATGCATGCATGCATGCATGCATGTATGTATGTGTGTATGCATGTATGTTTGCATGTATGGATGTACGTAAATTTATATTTATTGATTTTTCAAATACGTCATATATATCATAAGCTGAACCATTTTTTGAAATACTGACAGTCTCAGAATGATGCTGCAATTTTTCATCTTAGGTGGACGAATGATGATAAAAGCATTGGATTTTGGAGGTGCCATAATTCTTCCTTAAACCCATTTGGAGATCAAGAAACTGATGGCCTCGATCTCCCGTGAATCCAAACGATGGACTTAATAGTAAAGGGAAGACATCTCGACCCAAACTCAGACATTTCATAAAAATTAGCTGAGTGTCTCGGAAATTTGTCAGTTGGGAATAGGTCAAAAGTCTCACACCAAAATAGCTGGGATTTTTTGATGTTCAACCCCTCAAATCGTCATTCTTGATCCATCTCCATTTCCTTTCAGTTGCCAGATTGGCGAGCCAAGTCGCCACCCGCCGCTGGTGCCGGAGGCGCCGCCGGAGGCGCTGCCGGTGCAACCGGGGTCGCAGGGGCCGCCGGTGCAGCCGGGGCCGCAGGTGCTTTCTGGCAGAGCTTGTGATGTGAGGTATGTGCATATATATTTGCTTATCAATATATGTGTTATAGCATGTGCATGCATTTTTGATGTATGTATACATATATATATATATATACACCCTTGGGGGCGGGGGTTCCCCGAGGGGGGGAAGGGGTGGGGTGGGGTGGGGTGGGGTGTAATAACGTTCATGTAACTTGCGTGAAGGGGTGGGGTGGGGTGCGGTGGGGTGTAAAAACGTTCATGTAACTTGCGTAGAATTGGAGGCGTTCATGCTACGTGGATGTTACGGTCATTCTAAAGTCATGTTATGTACTTCTCAGGCATATGCCATGTTACGCTAGTGTAAGTTCTCTTGTAATTGTGACGTCTAGGTCATGCTACGCTAGTGTAACTTATCTTGTACTTGTCACGCATACGTCATGCTACGCTAGTGTAAGTTCTCTTGTACTTGTCATGCATGAGTCATGCGGGGGGAAGGGGTGGGCTGGGGTGGGGTGGGGTGTAATAACGTTCATGTAACTTGCGTGAAGAGGTGGGGTGTAAAAACGTTCATGTAACTTGCGTGAAGGGGTGGGGTGTAAACATCGCAACGTTCTAGCAGTGCACTATGTAAGCAAAAAGCCTGGTTTGGAAAGTGTCTTGAACGCACTCGCACGCTTCAAGGAGTTGGCAATGAAAAGTTGCCGGCAGCCTGGTTTGTGCCTTCTATAGTGGTTGATATGTCTTGTACTAATGCTTTTGTATAAAAACAGAAAAAACAGCTGACTCACAGTACTCGGAAATTTTGATGATATGCAAAATCACTGTGAATTACCAATGAAAGACAACATCACATCAAAATACCTGTGGAAACACAGTATATTATACCCTTTTCCAATGATCTTTGATATAGCACAAAATGTGCAGCTCGTAATTCCAATGGAGAAAATAAGAACACCAAAAATAACATATTGTGATGGTCCATAATTGACTTCAACTTCGACGGACAAAAAAAATTGATCCGTAATTGAAAGACATCAACAATGAAAAGAACGACATGAAAAATCTCCATTTTACCACAGTGAAACACTGTTTTTTCTCCAATTCAATGATCCTGATTGACGTCCTCTCGGGGAACCTCCTCCCCCTGCCGTATATATATATATATACATATATATATGTGTGTGTAATATAGTTATACCATATATTCGGGGGTACCATATATATATATATATATACATACACGTTACAAGTGTGATCAATGGTGTTTGCAATTCATGTTTTGACATACATAAACAGTGTGTATGTATATGTACATATATATATATATATATACGTGTGTGTGTGTGGTTTTCAATTTGGGGGAGAATAGTTGTGATCGAAATTTTGGTGATCAATTGCTTAACGTGGATGGGTGGAAAAGCCTATGGCACCATGTTTAATCAAACTTGTTATATATATCATAATCAAGTCATAATCCATATCCAGAGCTACCAATCATTTTGATGGGAAATCAAGGCTACCAAGTTTTTAAGCCATAACCATAATGTAAATATTGCAAGGAAAGAACCCTTGATCAACAACATCGTCCTATGGCCTGTGTCAGCAACACGTGGGGGTCAGCACAGCGCACCTTAGGCACCACGACCACGAAGTCGGTGCTCTGAATCCCCAGGTCTTTGATGATCTGCGACCAAAATGCTGCGGGCATCCCAGCGGAAAATAGGGTCAAAAGAATATACCTGAGTTCGCCTCCATGTCGGTTTCATGTTTGAGAGATTTGGGGAGTCACCTAGCCATACCGGCTATAGCCAACGGGCCTCCTCATGCTTCAGCACTTTGCCCTTGTGCACCAGGCGCGGCAACTCCTGCGTGGACTCCCTTGAACGAATGGAGCAACGTCGCAATTTCTGCATGTGGTTTTCCCCAACTGAAAAAGGATTTCTAATATTGTCAAAATGCTTGCAAGACTACATCTCTGGAATCTCACTGAAATTCTAAACTTTTCACTCCCATTCCAACCGCTGGACCCTGGAGAGGATCTTCATCTGCATGCAGTGTATCCTCCTCGTCCAACTGTTCAGGCATCATGGAGATCACCATGACTGCCTCGTTGGGTGCTGTAAAAGGCAACGTTGTCTCCAATGAATAAAACCTCTCGGATATGGTTTTCAAGAAAACACACATGGACCATAGTACATAAATATAGACACCCCGATCAAACAATCCTGGAATCGTTGTCTAAAGTCAAAAGTCTAGGAATCTACTATGAAGATGTATGGTGACTTGAAAAGTAGTTCTTTTATTTGAGATGATGAAAAGGTCGGTGCAAGAACCCCATCAGCTCCTTCCTTGCAGCACAGTTGCCAAAGCTTCTACTGTCTCCTCAGCCGATGCCCGCAAGACATGCAAGATCCACAAATGCACTTTCAGTCGCAACGCTGAAGCTGTCCCAAACAGCAGTGACAAATTAGTGTCTCAGCTTATCTAGTTTCGAGAGCAATGACCTGGGGAAGCATACGGTGTCCAAAAATCAAGGTACGGGAAGGTGGTACGCTATGATGGGGAGTACGGCACACTGGGTACGGGGGATACGTTACGAGGGGTACGCAAAGAGAATACGGTGCATGCCACCGTACCCCCACGATCGTGTTTGGCGATGCGCTTCCGGGTACGAGGGGTACGGTGGGTATACGGGTACGTATCCCCCACCATACCCCTGGACCCTACCCACTGTACCCTTACCCTACCCCACCATACCACCCCGTACCGCACCCACCGAACCCCCCGTACCGTACCCACCATACCCACCGTACCCACCGTACCCATCGCACCCACCATACCGTACCCCTCAAGCGCGCTGAACCCCCAGAAAACCTTGTTTTCATTGCTCTTGAAACCTGGTAAGTCTCATCAAAAAAAGCCATGAAGGGTCGACAATATTGAAATTCCTTCAGGTCTTAAAAAGTGGTGGGTGATGGACCCTTTTTGTACAAGTCCTCGGATCCAATCAGCGAATCTGGCAGGCTCCTCATCATCGATTTCCAACGGAAAGGGATCCGCAGACCCAATTCGGAGCTTTAGCCTGAGGGAAACCAAAAAAAAACCTTCATCTTTTGGTTGAAAATTCGAAAAGTCTGTGTCTAACAAATAGTTTTTTTTTTTAATGACACCTTCTATCTGGAACATGCTGATAAACCATGAAATGTTGCTGGTTTCCCCTAAATGTCCTGAAAAATCCTGAAATTTCAAGGGCAACACTCCGCCGGTGCCATCTCTAGGCACTCTCGGCGCCTCAGCACGTTGATCTGTGGGATCGGTGGAGCTTAGATTACAGTACCATTTGGAGATTTCATGGCAATGCGGCAATGTGATACAAAAATTGATATTTTCAGGGTTTCTCTGAAAATGTGCTACGCCGAAGCCATATTCTGAAAACACCGAGTAGGTGGAAATTCCTGGACGCTTTTCCGTCTCATCTTGACAGCATGGCCTCTCCACTGGCTTGGAACCCAGGCGCGTCTCGAATTGTCGAAGGTCAAAGAGAAAAGATTGTTGAGGCTGATAAGTTAGATTATGTTATTTATCTTTTATAGTTCGGTGCTACTAGATTGATTATCATCTGTGAGGGTTTTTTGGATGGAACACACACATACACACACATACATACATAACATAAAATAACATAACATAACATAACGTTAGGTTACGTTACGTTCCGCTACATTACATTACATTACATTACATTACATTACATACATGCATACATACATACATACAAAATTGTGCGTTCTTTGAATTTTGCGTGTCTTGGAATAAGCCAATAAGTCTGACTCGGACAGCAATACATGATAACTTAGGACAGACCGTGCTTCCACTCCAAGCAGTGAATTGTACTTTTGATGAGCCACTGTCACTTTTTCATACAGCCCCGAAGAGAAAAACGAGAGCACAAAACGTAAAATTCATGCAACCATGCCTCAACTCATTAAATCAATACAAGTGGTGATTGTTATTGTGTCTCTTGTCTTTATCTTCAAAGCCCGTTCCATCAAATTTAACCCATTCAGTACTGTAAAACTTGAAACTGCCGAACGATTCGTGTGAATTCCAAGGTCTCCCAGGAGATCGTGAAGCAAAGTCAGTTCTGACTCCGGGAATCCACCGAGCAGCGGATTCGCCTTTTTCTCATTTCGAGCTACAAGCTTCGAGTTGCTCAGTGACTTGGAAGCGTGAACTGTACATGTCCGAGTCCAAGTCATCAAAAGATGAATTAAGGCATCGCGCGCAACACGTGCGCATGGCCAACTGCTGAACATAAGGCAGCAATAAAACCAATGTGATTTTAGTCATGGGAGCACCAGTCGTGCTTGCCAAACAGCGAGACTGTTCAGACCGCGCTGCAAGACCTCCTTGGATGATGGATGCTTGCCTTTCCCTGATATTCTCTTCATTGAAACTGCTTGAAAATCTCGATCCACCGACCCATTGAATCCACCTGTGACACACACAGCAAAAAAGGTGCAGATCTTTGCGGCATTGGTTCCCGCTGTGGCTGGGCTCTGTACAATACTGTTCACTTTCTAAAATGCCTCCAGCCATTCTGCGAAGGGCAGACTGTCGGCCGTCCATTTCGCAACTGGAAAATGTTGCTGCTGCTGCTGCTGCACTCACTTCTCTGGAACTGGGATTCCTTGCACCACCTGCCAATTAGCATCATCAGCTCTAGCTGAAAATCCCAAAGGAATCTGAGAAGCTTCAGGCACCGTGATATTACACCAAACAGGGCCCAACGGGGGCACATCACCCAACATCGAGACAAGCCTGGCAAGATCATCCTGAAAAATGAATAAGACAATAAAACGATAAAATCTGACAGAGAACAAATGCATGAATCACTGAATCTGACTACAAAACGGCCCCTGGCCTGCTGTGGCAGAGCAGATGGAGCTGCCTTTGGAGGCAGGCGCTACATCTGAGCCTACCGTCCCAGCCCTGTCCCAGCCCTGTCCCAGCCCTGTCCCAGCCTGGTTGGTGGCACCGGGCAAGTTCAGGTGCTGCAGGATGGGCGCAGCCGCGAAGACCTCGCCCAGGATCTGCTGGCGCATGTCCTGCGAAGATCTGAGAAAGCTCCTCTACTTCTTGTGAAAGCTGTGGAAGTACAAAGCAAGACCCAAAGAAGTGCTATTCGGATAAGATCAAAGCAGCTGCCTCCTGTGTCGTGGAGGGCACCGCTGGCTGCTGCATTTCCAGCTGGGCCTCTGCCAAAAAACGTCGTGCTGAGAACCAACACTGATGCTATCAATCGCCATCAACTCTTTGGCACACCCGCAGAAACACAAGTTTGGGTAGATATGCCCAATCTATAATGGTCCCATCATGGCAGCATGGTTCCTATATGAAAGTGGGCCAAGTTTGAGACAAACGTTCCCTGTTGGTCACAGGGTGACACTGAGAACCAACTCAATATCATAACAATCCCAGTAAACACACCTCCTCAAGTGTCATCAGCCGCGCGGGCGTGGCACGGCGGTTCACCATGGCGGATACCGAGCCCATGACAGCAGTACCACGCACCTGCCATGGAAAGTGGAGAACCAAAACGCGTTGGGGTTGCCACCAAGTGGTCGCAAAACAAAAAAAACATCTTTGCTGACTGTGGATGTCCTAATAATGGATGATCTTTGGTGGTTAACATCCATTGATGGATTATCCTACATACATCCATATCATCCGTTAATTTATACAGTACCGGCTATCTTGGTGGTTTCTACCATGGCCTTGATGGTGATCTGCGTGTTGCCCATGGTCTCCGGCATGGCGCCGGAGCTGCTGTGGTAGAGACCCCCGCTGTTGCCGAAGCCGCCCATGATGGCGCGGCCGTTCCTGGGACCAACTCATCACTGGATTGGAGGGAAAATCTACAGGAAACCATGGTTTTTCCATGGGTTTTTCCCATGAAATATAGGGGGTTCATGGAAATTTTGAGGTACAAATCCACTCTTTCCAGGAGGCATTTTCCAGCATGTGGAGTGGCCCCCAAGCTGCCAAGTTTCTGCTCAACTACCACATTTGGCGGCACGATGAGATGCACGCCGCCTAGGGTTGGAAGCTCTCTATGGTAGCGTTGGGTCACTATACTTTCATAGGTTGTCCGAAACTAGGAGTAGCCCAACATCAAATGGTTTATCAATATGTTTTTTTTTAATGATAATTGTCCATATTGAAGTTGCTAGATACCTCAGAGTCAGTCCACCATTTTCAGGTACCAAACCCTTATGCTGTCAGGACCCAAACCATGGGACGTTCCCTTGGCTCCCAGACCCCAGAAGGCCGTGGCATGGATGGTGATCTGCCCAGAGCTGATCGGCTGACAACGCACACTTCAATCAAATATGCGATGTCATGCTATGTCTGTATATACATGCCGATATATAATGATACATATATACATATATACATATATATATACATATATATATACATATATATATATATATATACAGTATACATATATATATATATACATATACCTATATATATATACACCTATATATACATATTACATATATTAAAATATTATCACATATCTACAGACATCCAGATAAAGATACACAGTTTGTTGCGGGCCTCCGGATGGATGAAGAGCGCCTGGGAGAAGTCCAAGTTCGCCGCACCCGCCACGGCACGCGCGCGGATCTCGGGCTCCGGGATCCACCTGGAAAGCCACGCCAAAAACCACGGGGATATGGGAAATATCTGTGGAAATCATGTGGAAAACATGGGGAAATACTATGAAATACTGGGGATATGTGATGTTAATGATGTTAGAACAATTCTTGACATATTGAAAGTGCATAAAAGTGCATAAAGCCTCGAAAAAGATCAATGGGGACAACAGATTAACTTCTCATTATCGGGAGTAGGAACATCCTTTGTATCCTTTTGTTGTGTACCCTAATTTGACCCATAATCACATGATGGTACCCATTTGGGATCCATTGGCAATTTCGGAACGCACTTCTCTTCGTTGAACTTGCACCAGGCTATTCCAGAAAATGAATGGCTGATTTGTTTGCAAATTGAATGAGATCCAAATCCTCATGAATTTGTGAAAGACCTCTATCAATCTCCTGGGAATGCGTCGTAAGGAGTCTCTGCTGGCAACAGGAGTCTCTTTGTCTACATGTCTGAGATCTCTTTGAAGCTCCAGAAAGCTCCAGAAATCTCCAGAAAACAAATTAAGTCAATCAAAATCTGAAGATCTTCGAACCACTCGTGGAACACTGCCCGGTTCCACCTGCCGAACTTGTTTGCTCCAGAAAGGACACCGACAAATTTGGTCTGCGACATGGTCACAATTTCACTGGAACAGCCTGGAAACGCTTGAGTGGAACGACTGCAGGGTTGGTGCAGATAAATACGACATCGCTGCGGAGTACACACGGCGTCTGGCCATTCATTGTCTCTGTAATCAAGAGGAAAAACATGGAAAAACGGGACCATGCATGTCCTGTGCCAAGCTACTTTGAGCAGCGATAATCTTGGCGACTCGACAGATCTCAAGAATCCACCCCACCAGAATGGACAGAGGGGACAGTCAGTGTTTGTCGGGAGATTAGCAAACAGTGCCAGGAGGTTGAGCCAAAACCAAAACATGAATTACGAACAAGAAAGGTTAGGACATGTTAGGACACTTAGGATCCTGAACCTTTCAGCCGTCGACATGCAGTAAAAGAGATCTGCTGCCTTTTCCACATCGCGCAGCAGACCTTCCACCATTTGTGGAATATGTCACCCAGACGGTGCTCAGTCTGGCAGTTTGATACGTTCTGTGTAGGAAACATTTGAAACACATCCCTGCTGTTGCAGAATCATTGGAGGCGAGGCTGCCCATCAAACAATCATAGAACCGGAAGGCCTCATTGAGTACCTGTACTGTCAATCCACAATCTTCAAAGTGCGCGCTTAGGGTAGCCATGGGTGTCCTTTGGTGAGGATTTTTGACAACAACACGTTTAGGTTTGCAAACCAACGGACTTTGCAAGATTGTTGAAAATGTCTCAGGGTTCGTACTGACATTCAATCGTAAAAAAAAACTGCCGTTGAGACATATTGACTGCTCTCCATAACACATCCAGGCATCTCTGAAGCGAAATGCACTGAAGGTTAGAGGTCATTGGATGTCTGTACATTGGAGCCTACTTAGCCTACTTCGAAAGGTGACTCTTGGGGTCCTATTGGTTGACGCACTGACCTCCTGCAGTAGGGATGTGTTGGGGTGCATACTCGGCCGCCCCGAAACTTGTCGCTCTGGTTGCCGCGAAACGCAGCATTCTCCCAGAGCTCGGGCACGACAAAATGGGTCACCTGCACTCCCAGGATTTTCGATTTTCGCGCCACATCCAGCCGTTACCCTGACTTTGGTGGCTAACAACTAACAACAACCATAACAACAACATACAACCTCTTCAAGGCTATTGGCAATGTTTCACCAGCTTGACGAATCACAGTTCATCTCACCGAAGATTCAGGTGTCGCAGCTTCGCACATTAGCAGTGATGAAACGTCCAGCCAGGTGCATCCAGCTTCGCACGTGGATTGAAAGGATTTTGTGGCCCAATAAGACCTCACCCGATATGATTCACTGATAGTACTGATAGATCTTCAACCACGGCATAGATTCAACGCATTCTTGATGGCATAGGCATGGTGAAACTTGGGTGCCCAAGGAGTGAGGTGGTACATATTGGGCGCTAGCTAAAATCTGCGGGTGAATTTTGACCTGTTTCGATGTTTCGTCTGCACCGCTGGAAACATATCATTCTGCAGAGTCGCCACAACAGCTAGGCCCGGCTCAGCTGCTATCAAGTCGGCAACGCTTTTTTGGCTAGGTTGCTGTTCGAACTTTATAGATTCTATAGATTATACAGGTTACATATGGTATAGTGTAGGCATACTAAGCAGAAAAAGAAGATAAACGAGCAGTTCACAATTATTTTAGTAGCGTATCACCTGTTCTATCGATTTGGGGCTTGATATTCAGTAGTACATAGCAGGGAGGAAAGCAAGGAGGGATGCATGTTTTCCCCTTGCATAATTTTCTGGTTTGAAGTTGGGAGTTTCCCAGAACCATTTGCTGCTACTGTGCTACTCTTTGCCGATCAGGCATTCTCTGCTAAATATAGAAAATGGATGAAAATGGTGCAGAGCACTGCATCCCTGTCTTCAAAACCCCTGAAAAGACATGCCTTTGACACCGGTTTCGCTGAAGACCTCTGGCCTATCACGAGCGCGACCCGGCTGCTCGTAGTGAAACACTCCGCCCTTGCTATGACCTTTGTCATAGCGGCGATAGCTGGGTCAACTTCCCAAATGTGAAGAAGTGTGCCCCCTTGTGGAGGGGCTGCAGTGTGGGGCAGGCTTAAAAAATGAAAAACCTGTATGATACTCGGCTATAATATCAACCGAGAGTTTATAAACCCCCAGTTTCTAGATTCGGGTGCTCAGAATTGTGAGAATGAACCGATTGCAGCTGATACCCCCAGACTACCATCCCATTACCAATCCCAAGAACAAATCCAAATCCTGATTCATCATGATTTTCAATGATGGTGATATAATGGATGTGTTCAAATGATCTCTCCTACGACCCCACTGGAATTTGGGAAGATCCACAGCTGCTGGCCTTTTGAGCTGACCAGATCTCCGGTCTGTGAGACGGGCCACGAAGAACCGCACCGGTGTCGCTCCGAGCGCACAAGCCCAACGGTTCACAGGTGCAAGGCTGCTGTAAACCTGGGAGTAGAATGTTTGAGTGGCCTCTCCTAGACTGCTGTGGTGGAATATCGTCGGATCAAAAATAAATGAAATGATGGTTGATTGAGAACCGCAATTGGACAGAGAGGAAAATGAAAAAAGACAGAGAGAAGGAAAAAAGAAGAAGAAAGAAAAGGAAAGATGTCTGAAAAAGAGAGAGAGAGAGAAGGGGAAAAAAAGGAGGAAGAATACTTTGCATCTTGAAGCCTTCCAAGACAAACCTCAAGGACTTTAGCCTGATGCTACTTGCTGTTCCAGGGACCATCTAACTGGACGTCGCAAAGTGCTTGTCCCAGCCAGTTCCAGGATCGATGTACTCCAGTTGCCTGCAGAGACTTGATCTCCAGTTAGTTTCCAAACTATCTTTGCCGATCCAATGGATCCAAACCCTTTGCCAACTTGGATCTTATACAAGATTCCGTCCTCAACAAGCCAGAACTTTGCCAACCCAAACACATAGGTGTGTCCTAAAAATGGTGCATACTGAAATCCAAACCGAACATGTTTTTATTCTTTGATGGGTAAAATGAAAATAAACCACTGGATTTCAGGAGAGAAAACATCTTCGGACATACCCGCGTCTCCCCATGTCTCAGTGTCCCCAAGCCAACCTTGGAGCATCCTCTTTGCGAGCGCTGAAATTGGCCAAGTCGCGCTTGTTCTTCACCTGGCGAAAGATACCAAGGAAGCCTGGGAAGATATGGTTTTCTCAAAAAAAAATAAGGCTTCACCAAAATCCATCTAGTCACTAGTCAGTGTTGTAACCCATTTCTGGACAAAGCCACGTGAGGGAGGTCAGTGCAGATTATTGGAACTTCGCTCCATGAAACTTGGACTGTTTTCCCCAGCTTGGTGCTTGTGAGGAGATCTTATGAGAAGGGAAAGACTGCAGCTTCGCCAACATACAAAAACAATGAAGATGTACCATTGGGTGGCCAAATACAAAAACAAGAAGGAGCTAGCAACTGGATCCTTCCCAATCTCTATATCTACAAGTGAAAGCAAAGAAATGCACCAAACGAAAGACTCTCCTTGGCCCATTGCAACTCCTCTCCTAATCAAGGCAGAAGTGCTACTGGTTTGTAGGGCGTTGGGAGCTTCAAATCCTTCATAGCTTCCCAATCCATGTCAGAAAACCTCGGGGAAAACCGTGACCCATTGAGAGCGGCCTGGTGGCATCTCACCAGCTTTGAGCTGGCCAACAGGACTCACTAGTCATTGCCATTGCTCTTATCTGCCTATCAAAGAGCAGGTCACGTTGGCGCACTGCTGTGATATTCTCTGGCCCCCGGCCATTTGTGGTTCATGAGGTTCTTAACACCGCCAGGCCTGCACTTGCCATGCCCTTCTGTCTTGCAGAACATGTCGACTTCAAGTTGCAGTCCGTATCAAGTATACGTTAAACTGACGCAATAGTCAGAGTCTGCTCATTTTTGTTCATGTTGCTAAATGCAATGCCTTCCACAAACCATAAAATACCCTTCAGTTCTGAGACTGGGTGGCACTGCAAGCCCCCAAATCGGGAAACAGTCCAGCCATGTCCTTTCCAGGCCTCATTGGTAAACGTTGACTGGGCTCTTGCTGCAACAGCCCCTGTGCTGGTGGCGTTCATGATGATATGATGATGACAGTTTCATAGTGCGCCGTGTGAAAGTGTCAGTTGCCAATGCCACGACCCTTCCAAACAGTTGGATGTGTGAGTATGCCTGGTGCGCATACGCAAAATTGGACAAGTATCTTCCACATCTTATCAATCTTTGTGCATATATGCCAACCATTTTTTAGTCATGTGATCCGCAGACACGCTGATTGAAGCTTGCTTTCTCTAGCCAACTGTAAACCGCAAAGTGAATACCAAATCCCAGAATCTGATACCAATCTGATACCAATGTCAACGTCGCGACTGCACGCCTCGATCAGGCTCTTGCAGGGGCCGTTGCATGTCGAAGGGAAAGGCACCTGGAAAACCATGGAAAACCAACAAGATCCAACGAGTTTCGCGGAACTCATCTAAGACCTTGAGACCAAAATCGGTGCCTTTCAGCAGCAAGTTATTACTTTTTGAGTACCTCAGTCGCTGCCAGGCCTTGGAAATTCCCTTGGTCACCTTTGCATAGATCTGCATTGGATACGCACTCTCGAAGGGAGGATGGCCACACCTCAGAGAGGCTCTTCGGCTCGCGAAAATTAGAATATGCAATGCCAAATTCCCGGAATCCCCATCACAAAAAAAACCAATGATAATGGCGACAACCGCAATGATAACAATATCATCGTCGTCGTCGTCGTCGTCATCATCATCATCATCATCATCACCATCATCACCACCACCACCATCATCACCACCACCACCATCATCACCACCACCACCCTCATCACCACCACCACCAGCTTCATCACCACCACCACCATCATCACCACCACCACCATCATCATCATCATCACCACCACCATCATCATCATCATCATCACGACCACCATTATTATCATCATCCTCATCCTCATCCTCATCATCATCATCATCATCATCATCATCATCCTCATCCTCATCATCATCATCATCATTGTTTTCATCGTGTTCATCGTTTTCATATATCCTTGGTTTTGCCAGATCCATCTCCTCCATTCTCCTCCCAGTTCTCTGGTTGTGCTCAAGGGACATCAGCTCAAAGACGAGGATGCCCAGGGTCCACCAATCCTGAGTCCAACATCTGGGCTTTGATGGGTCATACAGTATAGTATGTTCAATCATGTCTTATGTGTGTGTACAATATATATATATGATACCATGCATCGTGTAGACATGTTGTCACAATCAAACTATAGAGTTTACTTTAGAGAATTGCTTGCACTGCGGTCAGATTGAGTAGCTAGTCAGCTTTGGAATAAAAGTGCGTGATTCTTTGCAAGCTCTCCCTCTCTTTGAAAAATGGCTCCATTCCATGATGACTCCGAGTAGCCACTGCATTGGTGTGACCCGTGGAGGCGATCAGCTCCGGTGCAAAATAGTCCGGGGTCCTCAAATGAGAAGGATCTCAGATGATCTCAGTGCCGAGACCAGATCTTTCCCGTCTTTCCCCAATCTAAGAGCTTGACCCGCAGCTGGTAAAGGTCTTGCCAATCACAAACCTCATGCGCCAGCAATTCCCAAGACAGCGTTCACAGTCAAAGTAATTTCAGACCTCAGATAATTTTGGAATATGATTCATCTATATAATAATTATCTTCCTTAAAGTGTTCGATGTTACCACCTCAAAAAAGAGTCAGATCTTCCAAAAATCGACCTGGCAGGTCCTCCACTTTGGCCCTTCGCCATTGGCAGGGCTTCCCGACTTGGCCAAGCCCATGTCAGTGAGCTTGATGTGTCCACCTTCCGTCAGAAGCAGGTTCTCAGGTTTCAAGTCCTGGCGATTTGGTGACCCCGGTGCAGCTACATGGGAGATGGAGATATGGATAGATATGGTGAGAGAATCTGAATCATGGTTGACTCCACTGCGATTCTGAGTCCAATATTGGTGTGAGTTCCTGGCTGGTTCAGAGGTTCAGATCCAGATCTGAGATGATCTGAGTAGTATGCCCAGCTTTGGGATGATTCAGGTCATATCCAGATTTATCGTCAGACCCTGACCACCCACCAATAGACTCCCACGCATCCAGTCCCGGTAGATGATTCGTCGCGCGTGAAGATGTTCAAAGGCATAGATCACACCGGCACTATAGTACCTGCCCAGTCAACTGATATCAACTGATAGTCATTCTCCTCACCAGTTGGGACAAGAAGCGAACCACGAGATACCCAAGGTGGCTCAGTGGGCCCCTGAGGCTGCGCAACTCTTCACTCGCCTGCAGTGCTTCTCCGAGCCATGGAAGCCCTTCCTGGATCGTTTTATGGGAATTTTGTGGAAGGCCTTGGGATTTTCTGTTCCTTTCTGCTCAAAGACATCCTGCAGCCTATGGGTGCCGAAAATGCAAAGTGTTCCACCGTAAACTCAGTCAGATTGTTTATCTGCACATCCAAATGAGGTGAGTTCAGTCCTGTTGTAGGTGGCATAAAGCTCGCCACCCAAGCAAGGTTCTAGGAGGAAGTACAAGGTCTGGGTGCCGTTGTAGGTCTCCTGTGGTCCCAATGGAACTGGTGAGCCAGTTGAGACATCACTCGTGTTGGACTAGCAAATCTAACCAAACCTAGGCAATGAACACCAACATTGGAAAGGATATGCAGACACTCACTAATCACTAAGGACTAAAATAAAATGTCAGACTATGTTCCCACATGTTGTCATATTGTCTTCGGACATAGAACCGCTTCTGATTCAAAACCTTCGTCAAAAATACGTATTGAATTCGCTCAGTTGCAAGTGCCACACATGCATATGTTTTCCCAGGATTGCATTTCTACATACTGTATATGATATGGATAGATATATATATATAATATATATATATATATCATATATATATATATACATATATCATATATATATATACATATATCATATATATATATACATATATCATATATATATATATATACACATGTGTGTGTGTGTGTTAGTTTGGAATTTCCGACTGGTCTTCCTGAAGAGTGGGGAAACCCTGAAATGGCACACCGGGAGGGCTTGTGATGTCTGACCAGAGCTCAAAATCTTCAGATTCCCACATGCTGGGCCGATGATCATGATCATCCTGAGATTGAATTGGGTGTTATTAAGTTATCGCCATTTTCATAGGGAAAGTAGAGAAAATGATGATCTAGGCCCTAGGCCAGTGATTAACCAGTGGATTTAGATGTACTCTATTTTCAGACAAAGCCAATTGTTTGACGTCCCAGTCGTGCAGCCCCTGGCAGTCCCAAAGTTTGGTGATGAACGAGGAGTTCGTCATCATGAGGATGTTCTTCTCGTTCATAACACTGTCTTGCATGCCAGTCTTCACGATATAGCCCTCACAACACAGCTCGTGTCAATGCCAAAGCTTCAGTTCATGGTGATTCTACAGATTTCTACAGCCATCGGAATCTTGTCCAATCATCTGACGCAAGGATTAGGCACTTCGGCACTCAGTTTTCTGTCTGTGATCACTTGGGCATCCTGGGCATCTTGAATCCTCCGTTGTTGCGATGGAAACAACCAACCATGTGACCCTCATGAGCCACAACCATAAAGAAAATGGTATATGGTTCAAAAATTAAGACCCACGGAACTCGGAACCAAAAAAAAATGAGTCATCTTTGAGCCTTCATCTGTTTTCAGATTTCAGTCATCTGTTTTGATCTGTTTTGGAGTATCTGTTTTGGAGTTTCATCAGCCTCAGCCATACCTTGATTGACCCAGCTTGCGGCCTTGCTGAGGCCCTTCAATGCATATGTATCGCCATTGCCTGGTGCCCAGGTGACAGGAATCCAAACGTTGTAACGTTCTGCCAACAGATACAGGATCTTTGGGACGCAACCTAATGTCAGCCCTGGATGCGGCGAAACCCTGACTATCTGGGGAGGTAACACCCCCAAAAGAGTCGTATTTAAGTTATTTAAGTATATTCAAGTTGCATTTTGTCTGTCAAAAGTCTCCCTTTTTTTTCATAAACTCACGGTCCCTCAGGGGGTTCAAAACTCGCCGCCTTTGTGCTCCCACAGCTCCACTGTGCCAAAGCCACCGCATCCCAACAGGCCTTGAAGCGAAGTGCTGAATCCCAACCAAGGTGTACGATGTATCGACATGTCCATCTCTATACGGTCTATACATGTCTATACATATGCTATGTACGACATATCATACATAACATGCCATGTCATGCAATATCGTACCATGTCTTACATTACATCATATTACAATTAAATTGCATTGCATTGCATTGTGTGCGTACGTACGTAGAGTATCTGTGAGAAATATACCAATGGGTGAGTCTAACTCCCTGCAAGACTACCCATGCACTTTCAATGGCCAGAAAGATAGCACAACTCCCCAAACTCTTCCACTCCGGCTGGGCTCTCAACCCACACGCTGCAAGTCATGGCGCTTGATCCTGAGTCGGTGCGGTGACAGCAGGCTGCCAACCACGGAGTGGGTCAGGGTTGTTCATCAAATAACTGGGAATTGTTTGGACTTGTTCGTTTCACTTTCAGGGTCATCTAATTCAATAACATTCAATATGGATAATAACAGTAACCGTATTGTTGTTGTTAATAATAATAATTAATAATAATAATAACAATAATAATTAATAATTATGATGATGTATACTTCAAGATAAGCTGGGACCTGGGACCTGCCATTTCAATGCGCAAAAGCCTGGAAGAATGGCAGCTGGGCTCTGCTGAGCTCCGGAACTTGCCACGACAGATGTCGCCACCATCGGCTCCGGGCACCACCTTTTTGTTTTCTCGCTGTCCCTGGCGCAGCAGCGCATCATCCATTGATGTTGCACCCAATTCCCCAAGACTCCCCCAGCATTTGATATGGTTGCTATCCATGATATGCTTGGTATATCTTGGTATGTTGACCAGTAATTTTTTCATTTAATGATTCACCCAAGATACCCAAGTCATCCCAAGATATCCCAAATCACCAGCTGCGGCAGCTCGGGCTTGGGATGGTTTGGGGCCTGGATGATGTCACTCAAAGGTCCAAGTAGGATGTCGAAGGACTCACGATCCAAGACCAAACACTTGGCAGTTTTGGACTTCACCTGAGGCTGTCGTCAGATTCCGCCTCGGGGGATCCCAAGCCTCTCAGTTCCATTTCCGTTCGTGGGCCAGCCTTTGTCTGGTTCGTCTCAACTGACATCCCAAACCAACTACAGCTATATCGCATTCCTGGCGTGGACAAATTAGATTTCCCTTTGATCCTATCAGCTGTATATGTATGGTATGGGATGGCATGGCATGGCATGGCATGTATGTATGTATGTATATATATATATATATTTATATACATGGTTCAACATAGCTAAAAATAATGATGTATATATATATACAGTATATGACTATAAAGAATCAGAGATATGCATATATTACAAAATATATGTATACATACGTATGTGTATACATATATATATATATATGTGTGTGCAAGACCATAATTGTAAAGACACTCAAGAAGATATATAACTATAACAATTAATTATATAGGCATAATTAATAATTGTACATTTAATTGTATGTACATGTGTCATGCATATTAATGTGTATTATAATTTATGTGGATATACATACCTAGATCCCCCACATGGCTTACAAGACCCAAGTGGCCAGCACCGTCGCTCCGCGCTTCTCGTTTTCCAGCAAGGCCTGTGTCACAAACTGTGAACTCCAGGAAGATTTTCGGGGGCAAAGGAAAGAGGAATCTGGAAAAACGTGGAATCGGGGCGAGCCGAAGCAAATGTGACAACTTCACACAATTTACTGATATTGAAAGAAAAAAGAAAACGGTTGGGTTGAAATTGGGCAATTACGGAAGAAACAGCATTTCCAACCCAAAAAGTCGTCAAAAGGTACTTAAGAAGTACAGATTCTATGGCCATGCTCAACATTGCCATAACTCCCGTGTCCCGAAGCTGGCCTTCTCGCCAAAGAACTGCGCTGAACCACGCGAAACACTGGCCTGTCATCGTCCATGATGGTAATCGCTGATTGCAAACGGCGAATGATCTAGAAACAAAATGGACCTTGGGTTCTCATGGTTCCCATCACAGCGATCGTAGCCATGACGAGTATGCAAATCTCGACATCTGAGCTTCACAATTGAAAGATATTGAAAGATTGCTCATTGCTCATTGCTTGTGGCAAGTCCCTGCAGCCAATTTCCACATCCTACTTTCGGGCGCGCGCTTCAAACGGACTTTGCCACAGGGTTTTCAGTGAAACATGGCGGCCTTATGCGGCCCTCAAACGCCTGGCAAGCCTGGTCTGCTTCTCAATCCGCTTCCGTTTGAAAGCTTCGCAGTTGGTGGTTCCACTCAATTCAACAAAAGCCTCAAAAGGGCAGATGGTATCTGCTGGCATGAGATGGCATCAAATGGTTGAGGTCTGGAATGAAATGTCACTGCTTTTAGCAAACACAGTGCTCCCAGAAAGGCTTCACATCCGGCCAGGGCAGTTTTGGCCCCAGTGGAATGGAGCCCCAAAAGCGCTCAGTTTCAGCGCTTACAATTTTTTTGGCAGAGAATCTGGCAGCAAGGTGAAAAACCATGCCAGCTAGAAAAAATGGTCTTCCAACATGTCCTAGAGCCTAAACAAACCTGTCCAAACTTCGTCATGTCGTAAGGCATCAGAGATTCAGGGGCGCTTCATCCCGAAGAAGCAGCTCAATGGTGGCAGGTGAGATTTCCTATCCCAAAGTTCAGCCCATCTCAGAATATCTCAATGGTGTAGCGGCACTTTATAGCATGGATGTGGGTTTGTCCAAAAATACCCAGGGTCTCGCAAAATCCAGCAGTACAATGTGATTTCTCATCGTCGATCCTCTGAAAATCCTTGAAAATTACCATCAATTGATTGAAACCGGTCATTTTCCCTCCAAATCATGGTTTATCAGCATTTTCCCTCTGAAAATCAATGAAAATCGCCATCCATTGTGGTATGAAAACATCCCGCGCTCCTTGTGCTGGTGAGGTCCAGGATCAGCTTGGTCAAAGAGTCCCGCCTTGTACGCCGCTCGGCCGAAGTTCTCGTCACCAAGGATGGTGATGAAGTCTTCGGCCTGATTTGAAAGTAGAGGTGGTGCCGTATGGTGCCATATGGTGCCATGATATCATGATATCATGATACCTGGTCCACCTGGTCTGATATCTGTTGAGTTGTCAATTATTTCTCCAGCATATCTTGGTTGAAACGCTTGGAAATGGGAAACTGGTGCTTCTCTTAGGGAAAGTCTTGTGTCAGCTGCATGACACAAGGACTTCCCATCGTACATCCCAACCTCCAGCCGGGTGTGCATCGGAGGACCCGTGCAGTTGAAGCCAGCACAACCAGGCGGAAGGAACCGCCTACGATGCTGTGGCTGGAAATCATCTGACTTGTCAGGTTCGCAATATGTTCTGCAATCACAACCACAACACTTAAGAAATACTCAAAATCCAGGTCAATATATGTGTGTGCCATAAAGTAAGTGTGCGTGCACATATGATTGCTTGTTGGTGATTTCTCAAACATCGAACAGTCTCAAGTCTTTTTCAGGGAAACCCTCATATTGGTCTGTCTAAAAACAATGTCCCCATCTTTTCTTCTTTCTAAGGAGATATAAAGCCACAACGAAGTTCCAGAATCGTTGATCAAGTTCAACTATAGTCTCTGCGAGATGGCTGAGCACTTCCACTGAGCTTGATGACAGGCGCCACAAGTATATGATTCATTCACCTACAAGAAGTGGCCCGAAATACCATTGAAGTCATTCTTTTGCATCGCTCACAGATACTCTCCGGTAACGTGGCAATGGAAAATCCTCTATGGCGGGTTTCAATGGGAAAATTCTCTAGTTTGAATGGGAAGATCCTCTACAAATTAAGGCTTTAAGGAGAAAACCTCTTGAAAATCCTCTATAAGTGGGGAATTTTCCAGCCACGTTTCCTCAACAGTTCCCCCAATGGCTATCACCTGCGGCTCTCACGGTACAGAGCCACGGGGATGCAGCACCCGGTGAAATTCCCGAAAGCCTCTGTCAGCAACAAAAGCCACAAAAAAGGCCAGGGTCTGTGGGTACTTGGCAAAAAACATAGCGGAAATGGATCAAAATAGGCTGTTCTGGTGAATTTAGGGGTCCTGAATTCTTGGGGGACAGTGCCTTCTCTCGAAGTGAAGAATTCAGCAGATGTGTGGAACAAATTCCACTTGGGAATCTCCAGTGAGGTCTTTGTTTTCTGTCAATGGGTTTGAGCATACATCCAATTTATCTCCAACTTATCCCAACCTGATGATTTGAAACATGTTAAGCCCACATTGTTCCTATGAAAATTCATTGAAACGACCTATTTGGAGGTATGTCATATCCCATTTTCAGACAATCCTGGCATCGACTCGGAGGTCTATCCGGCACCTGGCGGTCCTCCCCTGTCACCTCGACCGAAAGGTGGGTATCTTTGGTTGCTGAGGTCTCCCAAAAGCTGAGGATAGACAGGGGTTGGCCCTTTTCTATCCTTTCTCAGCAATTCGTGTTGTCCATCAGTAATCTCAATACCAAGTAGTTGGCCTTTAGTGAAGTGCAGGATATGTTTTCCTCATGGTGAAGGCGGTGCAGAGTCGTTATTTGACAGAGTTGAAGGCATCCATGACCGTGTGGGGCCTATCCTACAAAGCAAATTCTTCCCACAAAGGTCACAGAGATAAGTGCGTCAGCAGATGATAGGAAGATCTATTGGCCAATGGCATGGAGCGAACCAGCAAAAAGCAGAATAGAGATCAGCGATGCTGATGCTGGGAAAATTAGTCAATGGCACTTCAAAGTCCGGCAAACCGATCCAGAAACCCATCTCATGTTCAAAATGTTGGACTTGTCATTTACTGTTGCCATGCGGCAGTGTCACCGAGCCTGTGCCGGAAAGAAGAAACTATATAAGTGCAACAAACAACAAACATCCTGTAGTGCCAACACAAGTAGCTCAAGTACCAAAACAACCAACCAGGTCTGAAGATGTCTCACATTCTGACGAAATTGGCATTCTTACAGATCCAACAGATGCAGTGCTGCAGCCCCCGTCCCAGCCGACTGGGCCAATCTGTTGCCGGGTTGCCAGCGCATGCACCAATTCTCCGAAGGTGCGATCAATCCACGCTGCAGGGCACATGGTCTGCCAGAAATTGAGCTCTCTTGGAAGGCTTGGGAAATTGTGTTTGTGAATCTTGAAGACTCAATGGCATAGTGTGTATATATATACATATATATTGTTTTGTATTGTTATTGTTGTTATTTTTATTATCGTTATTATATAATTGTATATATAATATGTATGTAATTAATACTGTATGTAACATATGTATGTTATTGTAGGTGAATGTATATATTTGTTTTTTAATTTACATTTATTGATTTAAATCTGTTTATTTATTTATTTATGTGTTTATTTATTTATTTATTTTATTTAGATTCTTAGATGTTTTCCAAACACTGCGACTGCGGTAGACCTTTCTGCGGTCAAGTTCCGCCACCCGAAACGCTCGCCGCAAACCAGGCCTGCCACATCCGCGAGGACTGTCGCCTTCCATTGGGGTTGGCGATGGCATCCAGGAATTCAATGGCGGCTGGAAACCTCAGTGATGGCCAACTTCACCAGCATGTCATCAGTGATCGTATGTTGAAAGCTCCTGTCTTGGCGTAAGTTTACTTTGTTTACGTCCACAAAGTCCACAAAACAAAGCCTTCACAAATTGCTTCAGATCACACGTGCAGGATTTTGATTCCAACACGCAAGTTTGTGCGTGTGTGTATAGTAACTTTCCAGGTTGGAATGGGATTCATTGCAACCTGCAAACGTCACCAGTGGTTCCTGCAGTGAGGCTGTTCGGACTTTGTATGTATGTTACAAAGTGTCACAGGATTCTTACAAGTGTATGTTCACACGTTTTTTTTGGGTTCATGGAAAATCCCCATTTGGAGGTTTCCAATCCATGGGGGTACCCCTAAATCATCCATTTTAGTAGGATGTTCGATTCCAAACCATCCAGCTATTGGGATACCACCCATTTATGGAAAAATCCCGCACTGATCATCCATTGATATTTGTTGCTGGAAAATCTCCATTCATAAACCAGCTTTAATAAACCTCCATTGATATAAACCTCCATTGATATGAACCAGCTATAAACGATGGAAATGACCATTTGTAGCTGGGAAAACAACCGTTTATAATCGTTTAACCAGATGAGTTTCCATGTGTTTCCAAGCTCTAAACCTTCATTTTGATTTTAAAACCGCCCAGGCACCGATAGATTCGGCCAAAGAGGCCGCCAAAGAAGTCCAAAGTGAAGGCTTGACCCGCCTTTTTTCACCGCGAAACGTGTTGGAGATATGGGGATGGGCCAAGACCTACAGATGGTGGGTGAATTTGGATGAAATACCAATATGCAGAGGGGGGATGAACAATAGGGATGAACAATAAATCCAGATTTACCAGCATGTTTTTATGTTCGGTAGCAGTATGTGGTTTTGACCCATAGCCAGGATATTGAATTGTCGATCTGTTGACTGATGTTGTCTGTTAGAATCCAGACAACTTGCTTCGTACCATAATCTCTATGTAAATATATATATATACAGATAGAATCAGATAGATAGATATCCCAGATAGGTCATAGACTCATATTCCCATCTGATGGCCCCTCAAATCATCGCTATGTGAGGCAAGCTGAAGCCCTTGGCTCTTTAAGCAGCACACTAGGCAGAGTTAAGGAAACGAGAGCCTAGTGTAAGAAATAACTGTTTGGAAGAAAGCAGTGTTGTCTGCATCACAAATAAGACCAAGCGAAGAAAAGGCGCTGCAGCAAACTATACGGACAACTTTGAAAATCAAATGGATTCCAAACTGGTGATGCAAAATGATGGAAATAGTCCCAAAGAGGCTCCAAGTTTCCCAATGGATCCAATCCATGCTGAGTGGCTGCAAAGCTTTCATTCAGGATCAGAAGCTCCTTATCCGAACCACCGTTCTTGGTCACCATCACCTGCCGGACATGGCTCGTTAAATGTGGCTTCAGGGCGCTGCTTCAATGGCCCCAAACCTCTTCACGCTCGGCGGTATTTTCAGTCACCTTGGTGGGTCTCGAAGGCCCGGGAGTTGCCCGCAACAAGATGACTGTCACACCGAAGTCTAAAAGACCTTGCGGCATTGTTGTGGCAGAGTGTGGCAGACCAATAGCAAATATCTTATGAAACTGAACCACCCTCCACAGGCCTCGAAAGGCTTTTGAGTGAATTGGACAATGTGACAATGTGCAATAGCCGAGATGCCCGAAGCTACGACCCAGCAGACACCATTTAGAAAACATGGCAGACAGATCAGACAGGACACTCCAGAGTTCTCGGAGGCAAACATCCTGCTGCTCCTCCTCATCTGACCCATCTCGACACAGTTCCTGTCCGGAGTGGCGACTGTACTAGCGAACATCTAGGCGACTGAAACAAAACACAACTTCAGCGTCTTGGCGAAAACCATCAGAGTGTTCATCCATGCCCATCAATTGGAAGCCGGGCTCTTTTTTGAATCCGGTCCGACTCCTATCAATTTCAGTGTTTCTGAGGGTGTACCGGGTGTGCCCACTGCCACTTGCTCCTGCCCATCTGCCCTGCCTATCGATCCGCGACATTAGGAAGACCTGAAGTCGTTCTGAAACAGATGGAGAAATGGTGAAAATGGGGAAAGCAAAAAACCTGGATGGCCTATGCTATGAAGCTTCCAATGCCTGTGCGTTGTGGACCTCTTCAACCTTGATCTATAATCACTTGAATCAGCTGACAAAACACCTCGGTAGATTTGTCCTACTGGTTGATAGGCATTCCCACAGTTGATGGATTTACATAATCATGAATCATCATCAAGGAAATCTTGTAATATAATCGCACAGACCCATGGAAACATCAACCTACCATCATTTCTGGATCTTGTCTCCATCTTGCAAATCAAGCCCTCATGTTTCTTGGCTGAGAACCCCATGTTCTTGGTTCCAATTCGGTAAAACCCATCAACCAACAGACAGGTTGAGTCTACCGCTGTGCATGGGTAACAAGTGGAGTACCCCAAAATGAATGATGTAAGACATACCTGTATAGCCGTACATACATTTGGGTATGGGGCAATATCCAAAATCTAAGGAATCGCAGGTTTGGTCCATTTTTATCCATTTTAGGATCAACCATCAAGGTATTGTAGTACCCAGTTTCGACCCATGCCCACAAAAAAGGTCACAAGTTACCATTTGGCGGGTATTAAAAGGGGCCCAAAACAAAGCCACGATATCAGCCCAAGTGCTAGTTGAAGGGACCAAATATGTGGCTTCGATTTCGAATATACGGACGCAATCATCGTTTGAAACCCTGGTTGGCTGTATACCCCATTGACTAATATTGACCAGTTATTGTGAGATAACTGGCATTAACCATCAAACTATTGATATCAACCATTAACATCATTAACATTAGGTATTAGCAACCAATAGTAACTGGTATTACTGATACCATTAGTTAATCAACCGTTAACCATTAACTGGTATCACTATATCAATCAGTTATAGTTAACCATTAACATACCATGATCATTGGATGTAGCACCACTGAGACCATGGACGGATCGCGTGTAGCTGAACTCAAAGAGCTGCAGCTGCCCTCGCTCAACGCTCCGGAGGTTATCGGCAAGCGCCTGCGAAAGAGCTACTTTGGGATAGGCGTAGCAACCAAAATTTGGGGTCAAACCAACTGAAATCATCCAAAATCGAGGATTTAACCAACAAGGACTGGGGCTTTACGGCTTTACTGAGAGAAATGGTGGGTATTGCTTTCAATCTGACTATCAAAAATCGTCACTTCAACCGCCAATTTTTTGCCAAGAATTTGAATTGGGATTTAACCATATTTACTGTAATCGACAATCGTCGGGATTGAACGAACAAATTTGGGGGCTGGATTTAACCAACTAAGATGGGGTACCACCAATCAGAAGTATGGGGAGAGGCACACACAAACAACAAATGGAGCTTCAGCCAGCAAAAGCATGTTGACCAATGTTGGCCAAACATTATTTTTGGTTGCGAGTACGAACAAAAATCAAGCAAGACACAAGGAAGACCGATGAGGCATAAGCCCCGATGATGAGGGTGTCATCATCAAACTGTTGATTCGTTGCCACCAAAAAGGAGCTAGCAACCAAAAAAATTGGGATCTTTTCAAACAGCAGCGCTGCAGTGCTGGGGCTATCACCACCAAAATGTGGGCATATGGACTAGTGGAAACATAAGCTACCTAGAACTTGCATACCCTGGATTTCTAACAGAATGGGTAATGATGGCGTGTCAACATGAGCCTGCAAATTCCTGAGTCTTGTCCATGGTCTTGAACTCACGGGGCTTAGGCTTCCCAATGACAAAATTACCTGCTTCCTGATTGTCATGTTGTCTTGTTCCAAAATAACACGCAACGGTGCCTCCATTAAAATTAATCCTTTGAACAGATCTAAATTTTGAGACCTCCTACAGAAAGAAGAAACTGCAATTTCTCGTGTTTTTTGTTCACTGGCAGCCCTGGCCTGTTCCACGGCACCACAAAGCTCGACAGAGTCAGAGTCCCCCAGAGCCGGATCTGGCAGGTTGGAGTCTTTGGCAAAGACCTGGTGACGTCTTTGGCTGACTCAATCAAGGAAAAAAACCCAGGGAAACCCAGCACCTTGCGGCCAATGGAAATGATGTTGGCAGCATTCCTGCAGCAACAGGTGCGCTGAATCTTCTACTGACTCATGTTGTTTTTTATATTTGACTCTTGCAACAACCTGTTTCAGGATCTACTTGGACTCTTCCTGTTAACTTCATCTGCTGGCCCCCACATCCCTGGGTCCTTATACCAGCACCCTCCAAATTCCGCGTGTTCAATATGCTGCCTTTGAGGAAACAACACGTCTTGCTTTCCCACTTCCTGAGAAGGGGCTGTGCATAGGCTGCTTGCAGCAGAGTTTGATCTGGCGAACAAGAAACGATTCAAGACAGCGATTTCCAGACATTCTCCAATCCTTCCAGATCTTCCAGAACTGCAAAAATGGAAACCTCTATAATATATCATACATATACATTAGATATAATATGATATAATTATATAATATGCATGTATTTCTTCTTCAAAAAATGGGCTCTTCGGATTTCCACGGGATTTCCAGGGCGTTGTCCCTTTCGTTTCCCCTCATACCTTTCTGCTGAGGAACAGCAGCACTTCCTCCGGCGTTTCCACCTGGCTCAGCACCACAATGGGCGGTTTCGGCAGCAGCGTCTCATACACCCGGTCATTCCGGAACAGCCTGAAGGAAATCATGGAGGATCAGGATGCGCGGCTGGATGATGATCTCTGAATCTGTGAAGTGTACCATGACATGGGTTTTATTTATGAAAAATATGGCTTGGCGAGTCTGTGCCTGGCTACTGTGGATTTGACTTAACATGACTTAACAATAAACTTGGAAAGAGAGCCCGTTAAAATGAGAGGTGTGCAACAGGATTCAGATTTTGCATTTAGCAGGGTAAATTGAGGGAAAGAACGGATCAAAACCATCTGCCCTCTCATGAAATGAAGCTGTGTTAAGTAGATATGCATCTTTACAGCACTGTGCTGAGGTAGGTCACCTGGTAATCTTGAATGTCCCGGACCAAGATTTGGTATTTTGATGTGATTTGATATATGAAGCCACAAAAAGGATGTTGCAATCAGTCCCGCACAAGAACCAGCAGTTTTTACTTTTGACAGTAAGTACGTAGCGACGGGTCTATCGATAGCACCATGGCACAACCCATCACAACCCATCGAACATCAAGAAGCTGAAGGAAGCAGTCCACCTCTTGCCACACACCCTGCGAAATCAGGGTCTCTAGGAACCGTCCACGATCATCCACGTTTCAGTTGACGTTTTGCTTGGTAGGAGCCCTTTTTGAACAGTAATTTGCTAGTGATGCAGCAGCTCGGTCCTGGCAATCACGAACCAGAAGTAGTGTGAGCTCTTTGCATTCCCTTGCATGCGTGCAAAGGCAGCGCGGTCAAATCTTTGAGACTCTGTTTGTGAAAAATGTGTTCTTTTTGCATGTCTGACCAAGATTGAACATCACAGGGCATTCTATGTTGACTAGCCGGATTGTAGCTGCTACCAAGCTGTTGACATCTGTCAATGCGCTTTAGTCGAAAACGCAGGTGGTTCAATTTGAATGGATGCCCTTGGACATGGTTTTCGCACTGTCTTGCGAGTATCTAAAGCCTTGGCTTTCTCCGCATCATGCTTGACCAAAATCATGTTCATGCGAACACGTGCATCCGCATCTTGGTCGTTGTTAGCAGAAACCCAAGATATGGTTCTGTGTCCCAACAGTACATCTACAATCAAATTGACTAAATCTATCAATCCACAGAAACCTGCTACATCTTCACTGATCTCCGAACAAATGAACAATTTCTGTAATGCAAGAACGAACTCAAATGCCTCAAATGCTTCTAATTCCAGCTTCAAGAGCCAAACCAAAAAATACGTCTCACAGCGTTTTACTGTTTTTTGCTATCATGTCCTTCCTGTCTGCTTTGTGAACGCCCCTAGCCGCATGGCCCGCACAGCCATTGGGCCATGGCCTTAGTTCCTCAATGTCTGGTGTGTTGCTCTGGTCTAAAGCCAGTTGCTCTTGCAGGGCCTTCTCAAACTCCTGGACGTCAGCTGAAGAGTCGGCTGCATATGTCGGAAAATGCATGGGGGGTGGTATACAACCAACAAAATATGGGAATGTCATAGGGATTCAGTGGGATATTTCTAAGCAACAATATGATATTTGGGTGTGACTGCAAATGGGGTGTACCAACCAGTGGATTTGGGTATACCCATATACCTTCCATTTTCGGACTCAAATGTCGCACCTATATATAGGTACCAGCATGCCAATCTCAACAACAGCCGACCACAACTCAAAAGTGTTGCCCCAGTCCTCTTTGTCGAGCCTGCCGTCGTTGTTCTTATCCAACAACTTGAAAGCTTCTGCACCTGTCACCTGGCGTTTTTGTGTCACCTGCATCTCCAGTCCAACCTGTGTCATTGCAACAATTGGGCGACAGGCTTCAGAGCATTAGTCTAAGAATAATATTGAAGACATGAACGATGCAGTCGCTTTGGCATCAACTTCATGAACTGTGGCACCTCAAAGATGCTTTTGGTTTGCATGTTGTCCCCATCGCTGAGGTGTTTTTGTCGCCGTCCCTGCTGTTGCAGGTGCATTTTATCCTTCTTCTTGAGCTCCTAGGGTCAAGGTCAGCGAGTTTCCCCAGGAGACCAGGACTTGGTCACATACCTATCTTATGTTGGCTATGGGTAAAAACCCTGGTACCTTATGTACCCTAAAATAGCTGGTTAATGGACGCTTCTTCCCCCAAATATTACGGTATGGGATGTATATGAATCATATGATATATATATATATAATATATATATATATATTATATATATATATATTATATATATTATATATATATATGTATTGATATATGATATATGCAAATGCTCCGTAAACCCAGCCTGAAAGGTCTCATATGCCTCCATCTCCAACCGGTGCGTGCGTTCTTTCAAAAACTGCGAGGTCCACCGCTCCTGCCGAGCTGTTCAGATTTGGTAGAAAGGAAACGGAGAAAGTTGTTGCCCTTTGAAAAAACAACTTATATATAATACATAATATGTCATATATATATATATTATTACATGTATATATATATATATTATATATATATATTAATTAACATGTATATATATATATATATATATATATATCATTATTATTATTATTATTATTAATTATTATACATATATATATATATTATCATATTATTAGATGTAATATATGTAATGAATGGTGGGGGCAAGCAGATCAATGAGCAACGCCGAACTGGCCGAACTCATCGACATCTTGACTAAGTTGCCACGTGCCAAGCGCAGATTGAGAATGGGGCAAAACCGTATTACCGCACTTGCAAGGCAACTAAGACTACTGACTGCAATTATTAAAGTCTCAGATTGTACTTGAGGCCAAGGGGTAAGGGCTGGGCATGAAAACACACAGGGCATTAGCATTAATTACACATGATGAAAAAGCTGCGACGGTTGTCATCCTCCCAAGGATAGTACAGTATATATATATATATATAATGTATTGAACCCTATTGACAATACCAATGAGGTGCCCGGGGGGGTTGAGCCACAACTGCTTGTAAACCAGCCAGGGGGGGTAGTTGACTGTGAAGTTTCACGCGATTGGAGATTCCAGGCTCGATTTCAGCCCCCCCAATACCTTGCTCAAGCAAGAGGGACTTCGGCTGACAGAAGCTAGCTTTCGTGACTTGAACCGTTCCGGGATGTTTGGTTGGGCCTGTTCTTGCTGAACATGTGTTTGTCCAAAATTAGGGTACCCTTAAATTAGATGGTGAGTGATTGGGAGTATACCGCTCCATTTCAAAGCAACCCCACATGCTTTTCCTTGCTTCGGCGATTCGCGCCCTGCTGTCCTTCTCCTCATTCCTGCCTGTGGCTTTGGCAAAGCGGGCAAAGGCCTGCTGGAAGTCTGGACGGCAACGGCAACTTTCATGGTTCCAAAATTTGAGGATACCTCATGCTCAAACCCACATGAATTATCATGAATTCATATCATCAACCAGAATAGAATGTAGAATGTCCATTTACTTGGCCAAAAAGGTGCCAATTTACAGGCGGTTCGCTTTCCGAAAGCAGAGTCACCCCATCAGGTGCAGTGAAACCTTCAGAAACCAGAGATGAACAGTGGATGCCCAAAGCAATCATCGAAGCATGCTGCGTCTTTTCGGAGGTTTCCAGAAATACTTCTGGTCCAAATTTCAGGGCTACATCCATCGTCACCCCATCTCACATGATGCTGGCCTTCGGACCCTTTGCAAAAACCACCACAACTTGTCCTGGCTCCAAGACTTTCTCGTAATTGAGCACCAGCCTCTAGAGATTGAAAAGGGGAACTCAGGGGCGACGGGTGCCGATTGAAAAAAGAAAGTTCTACTGTGGGGGGAACCAGGAAACGGAGAGTTCCATGAGTTCCTTGGAGCAATTTGGGCTTCACTGGTACAATCCGCCTTTCCGCCCACAGCTCAGCCTTCCGCGGTGCACGGCTGCGATCAACATCACCGTGCCTGGCAAATCATGGGATGTCATGGTGCCAGATATGGAGGTTTCCTCGAACCTGTCTCCTTGCGGCTCTGCTGCCATTGGACTCTCGGTAGATCTCGTCTAGAACTGAGGCAAAGCTTCGATTCCCATAGCAGTCATGAAGGAGAAAGCCACAGATATTCCACCTGACAGGCTGGTAAATTTGCGGTGATCTCTTTGAGTCTATAACTGTTGTGTTTCAAGAACTTCCACCCCAAAGCTCATGAGGATCAGCCCAGCTTTCATAAATGGATTTTGCCAGCACTCCGACACCGGGGGCAGGCCTGAGGCTCTCAGAGTAGGGGATCCGCCAATGCTCAGGGAATTGCTTTCGCAACATGCTCCTAAGTTCAACACCCGTAGCCAACCTGATTCTTGTCTCGACTGATGAGTTCGCACGAGAAAAGGAGAAAGTGAAGTTGGAGGTCCCAATGCCCAGTTTCCTAGTATTTTCCCTGCTGTCAACTTCCATGGTGGTCAAGGTCAAACTGAAGGCAATGACGATCTCAATCTCAACAAACAGAACTTCCGAGAAGACTTGCATTCTGTCCATCTGACAGAGCTTCAGAAGCTTCAGCAGCTGTGGCATCGGCCGAGCTTCAAATGTTGATCTGTAAAGTTGGTGTGGACCTGTAGCAGTCCACCTCAGCATGGCCATCTTTTGGCATCCTATTGGGCCATCTTTTGGCATCCCATGTGCTGCCACAGGGCTGAGAAGGGTGATGAGACCCCTGATCCGTGTGCTTTGGGCAAAGAGGGCGCATTTCATTTCCTGCCGGTTCTGTGAACACACCCGACTGTGGCAGGTCCATTCCTGCTGCCCAGGGAGGTATGGACCTACTTTACCCATCAAACCATTAGACAACTCCACGTCAACGCAAAGGGTAGGAAACATACTCTGTGAGACTGGTGGCACCTCAGCTGAAAAGCATCGCTCCCGAGGGATGCCCATCTTGTTGGCCCGCAGTCTTCCCTTCCGCGGTGCTGCGGTGCTGCGGTCCGCGCAGCATGCCAAAATGCCAACGTTTCAGAATGGATAATAGTTTGCTAGTGATTTGTCGCTCAATGGATTCATGAAACATGATTCTGCATTTCTTGCCCCAGCTAGTCTGTATGTCCGTATCAAGCTTCAGCTTCACAGCTGCTGTAATTTATAGCATCAAGGTGGGTTCTCCCTGTCTGTTACCCTCACCTCAGGTTGCAACAACATCAGCCGCAAGCGCAAGCCAGGCGAGTGGCGGAGCCTCAGCTTCCCGATGCTGGCAACAACCCTCATGGCCTACCACCCAAGCTCCACCAAGTCACATGGACAGCGACATCATGATGTTGGCTGAGTCCTCCTCAAAGGCTTCCTGTGGCGACAGAAGACTTCCGGTATCTAGCAGCTCCAGCAGCTCTAGCAGCTCTAGCATCGCTATGCCACGTCCCAAACTTTTCAAACTGAATCCAAGCTCCTCCGCCGTATAATCAGGGATGACAAAACAGAGTCTCGAAGTCTGTATTTGCCTGAGTGCAAGTGTCAGCAGGTATGACAGAAAATTGCGATCCAGGCACCCATAGATCTTGGTCATGCCATATCATGTCTAACCCATTTCATTCCATGCAATTTTGATGGTACCCAGGTTTGACCCATGCCCATATGATATGTCAGTTCTTGTCTGTTTCAGATGATGTCATTTCCGACATAAGAAAACTCTTGGGCGCAACTTGGAGCACAACACCACCGGGATAGACAAATCATGGCAGAAATACCAAAAAAAAACTAAGGTCCAAGTTGGTGTTCCGGACTATAGTGACTATAGATGACTTTAGTATCATCTATTTTCTGATGGTTTTGTTCTGTAAATCGAATGATCCACAGATGTTTTGCCATTGATCCACAATTCCATGGGCGCCATGGCACGCACGCTCCAGGTCACGGGAGTTCAACACGGATCCCCGCAGGAAGTAAACTTTCTCCGCTTGTCCTGGGGACTTTTGAGGGTTTTGATGTCTAAAGTCTAAACCTCCAATTGGTCAATCTTGGGGGTGATTGATCTTTGGGATGACCCTATTTATGAACATGATCTGAGATAAATGAAAATCTACAAACACCAATGAACATGAATCGTGAACTAACTCTACTTTCTTATGTAGCATTGGGGTCCCTACCGTCCCTACGAAATTTTGGCTTGGCACCGAAAAAATATGCCGCCGATCAGGTCATAACTCATCTGCTAGGAACGAAGCTAAGCAACCCAGTTCCTGGTCCAAGCTCTGTTTCGACGAAGGCCTTCAAATCAAAGTCGTACTCTTTGTCGCTCAAGAATACCTTGCTTGTTGACTGCGAAAGAGGATTGTTGCGGACAACAAACTTTGGGTGCCTCAAATCGAAAAATTGAGTTGTGGTTTTGTCTTGTTTTTCCACGCGGAAAGTTAAGGATCAGTGTCTAAGTCTAAACACAATCACCCAATGTCAATTCGCCACACCGCACCGGCAATGCAGGTGTGGATGTACGGGATGTTGAAAGTTAATTTGGCACTGACATGTTTTGACTCTCACGAAACTCGCCGGCCAATCGCCTTTTTGTTTTTTCTGCTTATCTGGGGGTTCTCGATGCTTAAGCTTTGCTGGACCCATATCTTACGATTTGCGCCCGTGTCTTGAATATTGTTCTGTTTGTCGATATGTCTTGCAAAAAGAGATAGGTGTTATTTTCTTATCATCTTCGAAAATCTTAGCCACATCTTTAAATTCCCAAAACCAAATTAAAGACAAAGCATCGTGGTTAAGAAAAAAAATCTCGGACGAAAGCCAGCCTCCCAGTCCAGCCCCGCCGCCCCGGCGTATTCCTCTCTACGACCCGAATGTCGAAGCGACGGCTTGCTATAGCTGCTTCTATTTTCTCAGCATACAATAACCATATGTTATGTTCCTGATTGTTCCTGAGTCCTCCTGTTAGGGGGAAAAAACAGAACTCAGGAACAAAGAAACAAAGACCCCATCCAGAAACAAATCAGCAATCGAAAAACCTAATTCTGCATGCAGTGACGCTTGCCACCTATTCAAGTTGCCCGAGCGATAGTGCACGCAAACCGCAAAGCCAAGGTACCAGATCAGGCCGTTCCACATTCCACTGGTCATCCGTCACTGTCAAAGTTTCCAACAACAGCGTCTCCATCAGGGGGGATGACATGTGACATCCATTCCCTGTGATCACGATTTGGGTTCGCATCCTGCTTTTGCCTGAGGCAAGTTTCTGAAAGAATGACCACATGTGGATCAACATATCCCACGGGATGCTGTTGCTACTGTACAAACAGCGAAATCAAAAAACTCACCGGGCTGTTTATGCAATGGTTGACCCAGTATTCTAGGCCCCAAGGCAATCCCTGCTACTTTTTTTTCAGAAATTGCACCTTTCTTTTAGAATTTGTACGGCAACCAATCACCTGCACCCAATCGCAGTGTCCACATGAGAGATCTGCCAAGGTGCCTATGAACAGCCTTGGCAGCTAAAAACCCGGCTCAGGATAAAATGGGTTCGTAACTGAAAAAGGATTATTGCGATTCGCAGACAATGCCATTCTTGAAGTTTCTCACATCACGATGCCTTGCATTCACAGAGTGTCATTCACGATTCTAGCACCCAATGCCCCAATGCCCAAAATGCCAATGCCCAAATGGCCAAATGCCCAAATACCAAAATACACAAATACCCAATTACCCAAAACCAGATTTTGCGATGCGCCAGATTTTACCTTACAGCCTGGATTTGACAAACCTATAGCGCATTGTATCGATACCATCAGCTGGCAAAAACCAATTTTGACCTGAAGACATGACATGCCCCAAATTTTTAAGCCTCACCAAGGCACTTCCATCTAAGCCATCGGTTCACATAACTCCCACGGCCCTCTTCCGCATCGGTGAAGATTTCAAGAATTTCAGCCGTTTCGGAGCCGAAGAAGATCACACCACCAAAAATGAAGAAAATAATCATTATCCTCGCAAGACACTTGGGCCACTCATGCTGAGTGAACAGAGGGAAAACTGTGACATGTAAATGGGTAGCAACCAACTTGAATTTGCACACGAAAACATCAAAAGATGCACTGCTTAACAGCAATTGAACTGCCACCAATTTTTTTGAATTACAACAATGTGAATGATCCGGCAACCAGAATAGTCTTCAAAATGTTTCGCCCAAACCCTCGTCTTGTAAAATGGAACAGATTTCAAAATCAAGAACCATAATTGGTTCTTGTGATGTTTGTGAAAGCCATGCTGCCTCGACGGGACAGTAGTTGGTGAAAAATCACCATACCCAACAGTGGAGATAGTTGTTGTAATCCAATAGATCATCTGCACAATAGACCTCAGCTACCCCAGGCGCAAAAATACATCAATACCCCCACCCAAAAAAAGGCAACTCGATTGTGGTTGGGAATTTGCTCAAAGAAACAAAAATAAGTCAAGGAATGCGTCACTCAAGAATACAGCATTCAAGAAAAACAATTGCAAGTGCACAAAATGTAAATCGTCGGTGCGTGAATTCTTTAAACCTGTGATTGTATCTTGAACCCGGTTCTCCCAATCTTAATATTATTGGTTGCTTCACAGCATGGCTGCCATGCCAGTGGACGAACTAAATCAAGCCTTGAAGAGTGACATGGAGACGCGATGCAGTAACATTGAAGGTCAGTGGCCCGGGAAAACTTAGATCATGCACCTGGGGTTGAATTGAGTTGTCCATCTACTGTCTTGCCCGGCGATTTTGTCTTGTCTTTGTGCTCTCTGTTCTGGAAACATCCTCTGCTTAGTCTTTGTGGTGCACACTGTGGTTCGTTGTTCCAAGTACATCAGAAGTTTGCCTCGCAAAAACCAGTGACAAGGTCAAGGCCTGCACTTTCTTCAAGATTCAGCCCGCGCCTTCTTGAAGCGGATCGCCGGCTGGTTCGGCCGTCCCCGCATTTTCCAAGGAACGTAGATGGGCCTTGGTAGATTGTATTTTAATCGTCAAAATCATCACCAAAGGTCTTGTTGTCGCATTGCAGCCGGGCCGACGTCAAAAGAAGGATCAGGAACACAAACATCAAATCATCAAAATCGTGTCATGCTGTTTTATGCCATACTGAAAAAACACACTTGCAGCCCCAGACCACTCAATGTTTGACAACGTTTGACCCTGGCCCTTGCGATCGCTCTGCTCTTTTTGCCCGCCCCGTGGCTCAAGCCTGGCCGCCCCCATCTCTTTGGATGGCTTCTACTCTTCGCCGGTTCTCTTCAGTCAAGCCAGTCCAACATCGCCTGCAGACCTTGATGGCGTCGAACCCCCCGTTGCCCAACCACCGGCAGCCCAGGTCGCGATGTGCTAACCTGCTGCGGTCTTCTCTGGTCACGAATAGTAGGTGATCCGGACTTGGGGGGTTCTGACGCAGGTCCGGCACAGGTGTACCTCGCAGACGTCAGCATACAGTACACAGGCACATCCCACGGTATGCACTGTTCCAGCTGTCGACCTGACAACCAGTAGGCCCCGGATTGCTGCAACTCCACTAGCACCGTGCTCCATGTGCCAAGGTCGTTGTGGTGCGGTTTGGGGCTGGGGTTTGGCCTTTAAAGCGCTGCGACGTGGACAATCAAACTTCAAGTGATCAACTGAACAGCTTCAATCCTAGCAACTTCACAAGTACTGGCTTCAGTTCAACAGTTCTAACATTACGGCTTCAGTTCCAACCACTTCAACTTCGGTGTGCCAGCTAGCCATCACAAGGCTCCAGGCCACACCCTTAAGGACCAGGGTTCTTGTAGCCTAGTGGTCTGTTACTTGCCCTGCCCTTTGCCCAGGGGGGGGGTTGAACCCCCAAAGGGGCCAAACCAAGGCAGAGCAATAACGGCCAGATAGGCGACAGCCAGTGGGACAACAGGTCCTGATGATGGCTTTGTTGCTTTGTCCTTTTCCTTTCTTTCTTCCTGTTGTTTGTCTTGCCTGTGGTGGCTGGTGCTGGTGCTGCTGCCTTGTGGTGGGCAGAGGGTATGATGTTGAGAGTTTCTATTTTAGGGTTAAAGGGTTTAGGGTTAAAAAAATTTAGGGTGACGGTTAAAGGTGGATCAACTGAACAGCTTAAAGGCTAACTTGGGCCTTCCTCCCATGTTAACTCCTCGATGACAAGGCCTTTCTTGAGCTTGGAATGCATGTGTATATGTAGGTATGTATATATGTATGTACGTGTCCATGGATGTATGGATGTATGGATGTATGGATGTATGGATGTATGGATGTATGGATGTATGTATGTATGTATGTATGTATGTATGTATGTCTGTATGTATGTATGTATGTATGTGGGGGTACCTATTTATTTATGTATGTATCTGAACATATATGTGCGGACATGTATGTAAATGCATGTGCATGCATGTGTGTGTGTGAGTGTGTGTGTGTGTAGATATGTAATTATATTTGTACGTATGCATGGATGAATGCATGTATGTATGTATGTGTGTATGTGTGTATGTATGTATGTATGTATGTATGTATGTATGTGTATGTATGTATGTATGTATGTATGTATGTATGTATGTGTGTATGTATGTATGTATGTATGTCTGAACGCATGTTTCTTTGGGCCTTCCTCCAATGTTAACTCCTCGATGACAACGCCTACCTCCCATGTAAACTCCTCGACGACAAGGCCTTTCTCCCATGTTAGCCCCTGAGTTACCCCAAAGACAGGAGGCAAAACCGCCAGGAAAGACATCAGAGTTATATATCCCAAAGCAGGAGCCAAAACCCCCAGGAAAGACGTCAGAGTTTCAGTATCCCGAAGACAGGAGGCAAAACCATCAGGAAAGACGTCAGAGTTATCCCAAGGCAGGAGTCAAAAACACCAGGAGAGACATCAGAGTTACGCCAAGACAAAAGAGGCCGACATCAAGAGCAGCACGAAGAACACAAGCATCAAAACATCAAAATCATCACCAAAGGTCTTGTTGTCGCATTGCAGCCGGGTCGACGTCAAAAGAAGGATGAATGAGGAACACAAACATCAAGTCGTCAAAATCATCACCAAAGGTCTTGTTGTCGCATTGCAGCCGGGTTTGACAACGTTTGACCCTGGCCCTTGCGATCACTCTGCTCTTTTTGCCCGCCCCGTGGCTCAAGCCTGGCCGCCCCCATCTCTTTGGATGGCTTCTACTCTTCGCCGGTTCTCTTCAGTCAAGCCAGTCCAACATCGCTTGCAGACCTTGATGGCGTCGAACCCCCCGTTGCCCAACCACCGGCAGCCCAGGTCGCGATGTGCTAACCTGCTGCGGTCTTCTCTGGTCACGAATAGTAGGTGATCCGGACTTGGGGGGGTTCTGACGCAGGTCCGGCACAGGTGTACCTCGCAGACGTCAGCATACAGTACACAGGCACATCCCACGGTATGCACTGTTCCAGCTGTCGACCTGACAACCAGTAGGCCCCGGATTGCTGCAACTCCACTAGCACCGTGCTCCATGTGCCAAGGTCGTTGTGGTGCGGTTTGGGGCTGGGGTTTGGCCTTTAAAGCGCTGCGACGTGGACAATCAAACTTCAAGTGAATCAACTGAACAGCTTCAATCCTAGCAACTTCACAAGTACTGGCTTCAGTTCAACAGTTCTAACATTACGGCTTCAGTTCCAACCACTTCAACTTCGGTGTGCCAGCTAGCCATCACAAGGCTCCAGGCCACACCCTTAAGGACCAGGGTTCTTGTAGCCTAGTGGTCTGTTACTTGCCCTGCCCTTTGCCCAGGGGGGGGTTGAACCCCCAAAGGGGGCCAAACCAAGGCAGAGCAATAACGGCCAGATAGGCGACAGCCAGTGGGACAACAGGTCCTGATGATGGCTTTGTTGCTTTGTCCTTTTCCTTTCTTTCTTCCTGTTGTTTGTCTTGCCTGTGGTGGCTGGTGCTGGTGCTGCTGCCTTGTGGTGGGCAGAGGGTATGATGTTGAGAGTTTCTATTTTAGAGTTAAAGGGTTTAGGGTTGGAAAAAAATCAGGGTGACGGTTAAAGGTGGATCAACTGAACAGCTTAAAGGCTAACTTGGGCCTTCCTCCCATGTTAACTCCTCGATGACAAGGCCTTTCTTGAGCTTGGAATGCATGTGTATATGTAGGTATGTATATATGTATGTACGTGTCCATGGATGTATGTATGTATGTATGTATGTATGTATATGTATGTATGTATGTATGTATGTGGGTACCTATTTGTTTATGTATGTATCTGAACATATGTGTGTGGACATGTATGTAAATGCGTGTGCATGCATGTGTGTGTGTAGATATGTAATTATATTTGTACGTATGCATGGATGAATGCATGTATGTATGTATGTATGTGTGTATGTATGTATGTCTGAACGCATGTATCTTTGGGCCTTCCTCCAATGTTAACTCCTCGATGTCAACGCCTACCTCCCATGTAAACTCCTCGACGACAAGGCCTTTCTCCCATGTTAGCCCCCGAGTTACCCCAAAGACAGGAGGCAAAACCGCCAGGAAAGACATCAGAGTTATATATCCCAAGGCAGGAGCCAAAGCCTCCAGGAAAGACGTCAGAGTTTCAGTATCCCGAAGACAGGAGGCAAAACCATCAGGAAAGACATCAGAGTTATCCCAAGGCAGGAGTCAAAAACACCAGGAGAGACATCAGAGTTACGCCAAGACAAAAGAGGCCGACATCAAGAGCAGCACGAAGAACACAAGCATCAAAGCATCAAAATCATCACCAAAGGTCTTGTTGTCGCATTGCAGCCGGGTCGACGTCAAAAGAAGGATGAGGAACACAAACATCAAGTCGTCAAAATCATCACCAAAGGTCTTGTTGTCGCATTGCAGCCGGGTCGACGTCAAAAGAAGGATCAGGAACACAAACATCAAATCATCAAAATCGTGTCATGCTGTTTTATGCCATACTGAAAAAACACACTTGCAGCCCCAGACCACTCAATGTTTGACAACGTTTGACCCTGGCCCTTGCGATCGCTCTGCTCTTTTTGCCCGCCCCGTGGCTCAAGCCTGGCCGCCCCCATCTCTTTGGATGGCTTCTACTCTTCGCCGGTTCTCTTCAGTCAAGCCAGTCCAACATCGCCTGCAGACCTTGATGGCGTCGAACCCCCCGTTGCCCAACCACCGGCAGCCCAGGTCGCGATGTGCTAACCTGCTGCGGTCTTCTCTGGTCACAAATAGTAGGTGATCCGGACTTGGGGGGTTCTGACGCAGGTCCGGCACAGGTGTACCTCGCAGACGTCAGCATACAGTACACAGGCACATCCCACGGTATGCACTGTTCCAGCTGTCGACCTGACAACCAGTAGGCCCCGGATTGCTGCAACTCCACTAGCACCGTGCTCCATGTGCCAAGGTCGTTGTGGTGCGGTTTGGGGCTGGGGTTTGGCCTTTAAAGCGCTGCGACGTGGACAATCAAACTTCAATTGAATCAACTGAACAGAGCTTCAATCCTAGCAACTTCACAAGTACTGGCTTCAGTTCAACAGTTCCAACATTACGGCTTCAGTTCCCACCACTTCAACTTCGGTGTGCCAGCTAGCCATCACAAGGCTCCAGGCCACACCCTTAAGGACCAGGGTTCTGGTAGCCTAGTGGTCTGTTACTTGCCCTGCTTCAAGATCCTGTGTTCCTTTCCTTTCATTTGAGAAACTACAATAGTAGGAGTTTGAAGCGTGCCTGGCCCCCAAACGGACCACACACGAGCTACCCGCAACCAAACCAAGAGACAGACAGCCTCAGCCACCAATCAACAACAGAAACCCAGGGACGAGATCCAGCAAAGGAAAGGTGAGAGAGAATCACCTTGACCATGACGAGCATCCTAGATCAAACGAAGGACTCTCGCAATGTAGTCGAGGCAAACAAGCTCACTGCCTTCATAAATCCAACCAAATCTCAACACCAACGTGCAGCCCGGCATTGGTGGGCGACCAAGCACAAGTGGGCTGCGTCTGCAGCGCCAAATCATGTAGTCAAAACAACCAAACTCAGAGCACCACGAACAACTGGTGTCTGTACCCTTGGCACGGCCAACCCATGCATTAGAAACAAATGCACCAAGCAACACATATCGACAGCAGCATCACCAGTGCAAGCTGCACGCAAACTCGCCAATAGACTCACCAATAGAAATCTGGTCAAAACGAGCCCCTTGGACCTCGTGTCTGTTCTGCGCCGGAAATCTATTCCAACACCACCATCTCCAGCCACCACGAAACTAATGAAGGTTGTAGGACAAATCATCAAGACTCATGTTCAAACCAAGTAAACCATCAATCTTCCAAGTCCACTGACTACTTTCAGTCCAATCATGAAATTTCATCCACTTTCTCAAAGCATGAACCGGGCAACCAGCACCATGGATCCAACCACACAACCTACGTTCTTTCAGGGTGGTGACAATCCTAAAAAGAGAACAAGCAGAAACGATGTCCAAGTGAGTAGTGCCACCCTGGATGATGGCTCTCAACCAAGTATTCCTCATCCAAGCAGTTTGTTCACATCGTTTCATCACATGCCACAGAGGTGTGGAGACACAAAGCGGAAGCAAACAAGCAAACCAACCATATGCCACAGCCGACAAAGCAATTGCACGTGCATATATTAATTTGAAAAACACCAATACTCATGCGACTAGACACGTGCAGCCAATCTATCGCGACAAAGATCAGTACGAGCTTGCTCCCGATCAGCGTTGGTCCTGGGATGCCCACGCGTGACAATCCTTAGAAATAAGACATGCGTGCTGGCCTGATCAAAAGCGAGTTGGTCAAGCGGAGTTCGCTGACCTTGAGTTCCCGCAGTGAATTGCGATGAATTGCGCTTTAGAAATGCTTTCAATCAACCCAACTCTATCCCACCAATCCTTCCAAGCATCGGTGATCCTAACCAAGCCATCAGAGGTACGGGCGGTGAAAGTCCGGTCGTCCATAAAATAAGAATGCGACACAAAGCATTACCAACTTGACGGCGAATGAAACGAGCACCGGCACTAAGCCACACAGCAGCAACAAGCGGCCTGAAGGGGTCACCTTGGGGGATGGCCAACCCACACGTCATAGGGTTGGATTCCAAGCCAGCCACCTTTTTTGTTTGGCCCAAAGCTTGGCCAGCAAATCACCAAACTCGGTAGGAGCACCACAAGCAACCAAGAGCGTAGCCGACGCCCGAGGGCGAAGGGTATCAAAGCATGTGGTAAAATCCAAAGTGCCCAAAAAATTGGAGGTAGAGAAAGAAACAAGAACAGAACCTGCAGCGACAGCAGCGTCACACCCATTTTTTGTCCATCCCAGTTCCCTTCCAGATCCTTTTCCAGGTCCTTTTCCGGATTTGCTGCGGCTTTTTCACGGATTTCTGTTGCCGTGTCTTTTTCAACAAATGGGAGCTCCTTTTTGGAAAAACCCGGGTGTGCAACATAAATCCTAGAAATACGCGGCAAGTCCGCAGAAGGAACCGGAAAAGGAACTGGAAGGAAATGGGGATGGATAAAAGGAACTGGAAAAACACAAGCCTGTTACTTACTTTAACCAGTACAAGATTTGGAAGTGCAACCAACCAGCTGAAATAGTTTTGGGACTGAAGAACTCGGATGGTACTGCTGGCTGCACGACTCAAGACCATCAAGCCAAGGTGGAGGCGATCCCATCTGCTGGATCGTCTGGAGGAGCTCCAACGCTTGAAGTGCATAGTGCTGTTGAAAGGAGATGCAGCTCCTCTGGGCCGTTTTCCATCATGCCTGAGCATTTGGATACTCCACACCTCCCATCTGGCTTGAACTTGTTGAAAGGCGTGACAAATAGTGTCTAAGCCTCCAATCTGCACACTGCTCTGCAGCTTGAACACGCTGGGAAATGGCCTTGAGAGGTGGCCTGCGCCCACTGCCGGCCAGGTTCGCTTGGCTCGGCTCTCTGCCTCACAGGACGGCTCCTTGCCAAGCAAATTTAAGAAGAAGGGCTAGGGCTGAAACGTCCACATGGACACTTCTAGCCTCTGAGATCCTGCTGGCGTCCCCTTCTGACAGGGCTGGCTTGGCACTGGATGCTGCCGAAACAAGGAATGATGGGCAACTCCATTGGTGAAAGAAGCCGCAGAAGCAGAGGGACCCGGAACCGAGTTGAGAGGTCCTGAAAATCAACAGTTAAATCCACAATGTCAGACGACTTGGGTGGATTGGTCAAGAGACCTGGACTTGGAAACCTCGGTGGCTTCCAAGACAAATGCCACCCAGCAGCCCACAAGGATAGATCGAAAAGCTGGGCAAGCGATCCCGCCAGCTGCTCTTGACCCCCAAATTAGGGTATTTCACCCCTTTGAGGGACTCGACACGTTCATTCTTGCGTGTGGCAAATCTTTGATTGTATCTTGAACCATCTTGAACCCGTTCCCCCCAATCTCAATATTATTGGTTGCTTCAACGCATGGCCGCCAGTGGACGAATTAAATCAAACCCTTTAGGAGCAACATGGAGACATGAAGCGGTAACATTGAAGTTCAGGGCGCCGGGGGGAACTTACAGATCATGCACCTGGCATCTGGTCGAGTTGTCTATCTTCTGTATCATATAGATGAACATGCGAATCATGCAAGAAAAGCTGTTCCCAGATTCTTGATTCAAGAAAAGCTGTTCCCAGTCGAGAAAGCATTGCAATCAAACGAAGAAAAATTAAGAACTGCGTAAGGAAAACTCGCAGAAAAAAGCGATGCAATCGCAAAGCCCACGAGATTGCCTACGCAAGCTGACCTCCCAATGTCTTCTGCAACTTCGACCCATGCAGGGTGCACTCATGCAGGATAAAGAAGGCTCAGTCTGAAAAATCCAGCCAAAGCTGTTGCTCTTATCTAACTCGTTTTTCAATGGAACGCCGTCCAAAGTCATCCAAGTAACAAATCGCCCATGCCAACAGTCAAGAATGTGTCCTCATGGCATCGTACTCTCAATTCTTGCTGTTTCTGTTACTGCTCACTTCACTTCATGACCTTTCTTCACTTTCGGCAAACAATTCATGTGTCAGATGGGTCACTCAAATCTTCATGTACTTCACATTTCCACTTGCATCAACCAGTCAGTCCTCCAGGCCAGGGACCTCCCCGAGCACCTCTAGGACGAACATGGTCCCCGCCATACAAACGATCTGGGCACTGCGGAGGATCGTTCTGCGCATCTCTACCCAGGAAAGGATCAAAGGATCTCTCGAAACTTCTACTTACTAATTGATCTTGAATCCCAATTCAATTCCTGAACCAAATCAAAATCGCTCCGAATAATTCCTAATAGATATTAGCAAGCATGTGAACATGGTGATCCTCAGTAACATCAAACTCCTGAGACGCTGAGTATGGCACTGTCGTGGACCTTCTCTCTGGCTATTTAGGAAAAGTCTTCAAGAGCAAAGTCTTCAGATGACGGCACTACTGTAGCACTACATTCTTTGGAAATGGCGCCTTCGGAGTAACTTCGGAGAACCTCCACCCAAAACCATCCAGCAACTCGGATCACACCCCGTGTCCCCCGACCATTGTGGTCAGCCGCAGCACTGTGAGCACCTCACTGTGAAAAGATGTGAAAAGGAATGGTTGAAGCCCACTCTGGCTTTTTGAAAAATCAAAGACTTTGAGCCATAACAGAGACCAGGAGAAACCTCCTCAGCCCAAGAATTTACACCCCTAGCCACCAGGCGCAGCCAAGCAGCACATCGACCTAAGACTGTATCTCCATGCTGCGAATGCTCTTGAGTCAGGCGTTGAAGTGACCTGTCAGGCAACTACAACCACAGTGAACTGCGTGATTCCATCAAGGATCCAAATTGGGTACCAAATGCACCAAAGATGAATTGTCCATGGTCCATGCCAGTGGCCAAAATCTGTCTGTCTACAGTGTTGATCCTAAGTTTCGACCCATCTAGCCCCAAAAGAGGGGTCCTGTAATCATATTAAAGAGAAATTCAGCCACTCAGCGCTGGCTGAAGGTGAAGCCTAGCTTGACAGGATCTTGTTGCCAAGAACCCCCAATCAAGTGCTATAGTTGGTGCAAGGAAGTACCCTGATGATCCCTGATGTACGTCAAGATGAGGGGAAGCAGCGCCAAGACCAGATCTGCCTGAAAGCCCCAAGAGCTGTGATGATGCGAAAATAGCTAAGGCAAAGCCACCGCCTGGACCGCTTGCGCCGCAAAACATAGCTTGAAGAGGGTTGTCTCAGAATGAGGGTTAATTGGTGGGGGCGCTCATCGCCTGCAGGACAAAACGGTTGCTCATGAGTCTCAGAAGGACATGCTTGCTACAAGATGCTACAAGTAGAACGGAGATACAGTATCCCCGCAGTCACCCCACCTCTCAACGGCCACAAGCTGCAAATCAAGTCCGTAAGGAATGAAGATGGGAGTGATCACAAAGACATCCACCAGGGCCTGGAGGGCCACAACCAAAGGGCCAGTGGGCGACCAGTCCAAAGCCCAAAGACCACCCCACTTTTCCGTCCGCGATGGCCTTGGGGTTCAGGAATCTTATCTGGAAACCCTCGCTAAGTCGCTCCAGCAAATGAGTGAAGATGAAGAAGCAACCTCGCACGAAACGCACTCCAGAGAGCAACCCGGCTCTGCAAATCTTTCGAAAGAAGAATATTGGGCGTTCGGCAAACTGGCAGGGGTACACATGTCAGCATCTGCGAGTAGCACACATCAGAGGATTGTTTGCATTTGATAGACACAAATGGACATGGATACTCACAGTACAAGTAAGAGCAAAACCCAAAGTGCTTGGCAAAACGTCTTCCCTGGAACAATCTGGAACAAGACACTGATTCCAAGTTCCCAAACGGCCACATTGTTCTGATTCCACCTTCCCTGCGGCCAGTGCTGCTATATACATCATATACCAAAGACTTTTCAAACTAATAAGCCATCACCACTGCTGAACGCAAAAAATGACTCTGTCTTTGACAACAATGGAACCACCTTCCACATCCTTTCGCTGGTGAAAACGCACCGTATAGGTGATATTTTCCCTATGACTCCTTGATACTACGACTCCATGTCCTTGCAAACAGCCATGGCCGCATACTATGGCCGAAGGCGATAGGCCCGATAGGCCTTGGTATAGGTCCTGTAAGCAAAGAGGTATCCCTGTGCCAGTGCAAATGCCAACCGTAGAAGTTGGATCAATACCATCGGATACGGGCAGGTAACCTCGCGCAAGGCTGGCGAAGATTCTACAATGGCCGGAGCTAGTTGGGGGTTGTCTGATTGTAGAGGTCGTCAATTTTCAAACGGTTCAACTGGAGGCAAATGTCTGATTTCCATCCCTACATCTGCAGAATCTGCAAAAGGATGGTGTTGGATCCACATTTATTCAAACTTCTACGTGGTTGGTATCCTCGTAGCTCCTTGGCTCCCAATAGGGCCAATAGGGAATATATGGGAATATAGATAACATTAGATCACCACAGCTCCGAACCACTCCCTACCAGCCCTTTGGCGCACCCTCAGCTTGTCGGGCATGCCGATGAAACGCTGCAGGAAAATGCGAAACCCGGTGCTGCTGTCGCGAATCGCAGAGTAAATGGGGCGCACCACTTGGAAGAACACACTGATGGTGATTTGCCTTGGGGATTTCGAAACAGCACTGGGATCATCCAAATCCTCAGTGGAAACCTATGAAATACATGCCGGTTCGAACAGAAACTTACCCCTAAATCCCATGGATGATCATCATTTGCAGTCATTTTCCCACTCAGAATGTCGATATTCATGCTCCCGGAAGCTCAATCTCTACTGGTTCCGAGATGCACTGCAGCAGGCCACAGGAGGTACATTCCAAAGAATTCGTTCCAGCTTGGCGTCTCCGCTTCGATGGGGTCGACAGCTGTACTGAGACAGGTGCCATGGGAGCTGCAGAGCCCAGGGCATTGCTGGCACGACATGGCGATCCGAACCCCTGGTCCTTCGAGCGGTCCTTCCGGACCCAAGTGATGGGCAAATGATGAACAAATGATGAACAAATAGAAAGAAGTAGATAGAAGTAGAACCAAACTAACTTGTTTAATTAGGTCATGTGCACATCGAGATAGAAGAGCCAAATCCACATGCTAGATCCGCTGCCAGCTAGGGCCATTCAAATTCGTGCGATCAAAGGTTGCAGCGAATCAGTGGAAGGAACCAAAACTGGAAACTGCACATTGAACTATCTAAAAGCCTCTCCCTCCCGGTCTCAGATTTCTCCCCTTCGTGCTGCGCATACGATGTGCTGACTGGACACGCAAAATTCTCTTGGAATCTTCAACTCCAACCACTTACTAGTATATAATCACAGACCGATAGTGGTACTGATCATTCAAGCATCTTGAGTGCTGCTGGTCCCATTCCATTTTGTGGATCCTGCCATTCCCAGCTCCCGCTGCCATCGTCACCTCCAGATTGGCAACCACTTGGCCGTCTTTGATGATGTCCACATTGCCCTGTGGGCACTATGGCATTGCCAGGAGCGGGGAGGAGCGGGGACAAGGGTCCTCAACTGGAAAAGGCTGCTGCCTGTCAACCCTGTACCATCCTCAACACATGGCATGGCCATTGATGGCCATTGATGGCCATTGATGGCCATGGCCATTGATGCCCATGGCATATTTGTTCCTGGCCTCGTACATGATGTAGAAGGTGTTGCCGGGCTCGTCTTGTTGGACCACCATCTCGCCTTGTGTGAAGTGCATCTCCACCAATGCCTCACCGTCCAAGGTTGGTGACCCAGGACTTGCATGGACTTGCCAAGTCTCACAGCAACAAAGCATGAGCACAGCCGCAAAATGTGACCAAGAATAAGAAGAATGGTATACACTTGTTACATCATGTTACAACATGTTACAACATCATGATATATCATAACACTCATAACACCATCAAATGTTTCTCCCCGCTGTACCTTGGCCAGTGCTTTCTTCTCGGTCTCCAGGAGAGTGTCCAAGATGCTCACATCGTTCAAGTACCGCACCTGCCAAGGGATATCGAAGTTTCAATGCGAATGGTCTAGGTCTTGATCCAACCCTCACCTCATCAAGTGAATAGAGGTTGTTCCAAAATCGAACCAACTCTCCAGACTTCCCACATGGTGTTGAGGCTCATGCGTACTCTTTCAGCTTGTTGTCTGAGACCTTCATGAGAATGTCCTGCCAGGTGGCAAAAAGGCTAAAAGTTGGTCAATGCTGCTTACCTTAGGTGTGCAACGATCGAAAAGCGTCAAAAATACTTCAACCAAATGACACCCTCAGAATGAGGGTTCTTGCTGGGGGCATAATAACACAGTACCTATGGGGAAAAATATACCTGTCTCATGTCCGGAGTTTCGTCTTACGCGCTTCTGATTTGTGTTGTGAATCATGATGACTTTGATGCGAAGAGTACAAGGGCATGAGGACCATCTCAACCTGCTGAGACACTGGCCTCCGGGAAACTGGTATGGATATACAGTGGGGATATTTCACGATATATTGTAGACATTGTAGACCAAGACTCAAGAACGTGTCATATGGATCCAGCGGGAGGCAGTTTTGAATCTGGGAGAAGCTTCGGATTTCCTAGCTACCAAGCTGCCTCTTTACGTTTTCATTTACACCTATCCATCAGCTTGATGTTTTTTTCGCTCCAACTCATCCAAGTATTGGCGGAAAATGGAAAGCTAGTGATCTATTGAAATAGGAAAAACATCTAAAATTCGTGATATTCATGTCTACCTGTCTACCAATCCGATTTATAGTCTCTGGCTCCGTCTGGCTCCAGCTCCTTTCCAAGTCCCTCATCCAGCCTTGAAGTTACTTCTGTCAATCACCCAAACGACGCCATCTGTGATAGCCTGACATGGCTGGAGTGCCAATCCAGTCTACGCCTGAAACCTGTGTCAAAGGCGGTTGACGCGGTTGAGGCTAGTTTAAAGGATAGCATAGTTCTGGTTCTCTCGAGCATTCGCGGATATTTGTGGCCTGCACAGTAGCAGCTCGTGGCACGAAGTACAGCAAGGCCAACTCTCCAAAGGATCCACCCTGGGACAAGACGTTCAACACCTGCAACGGCGCAACAGCGAGCGCAACGCTGCTGCTAACGGCTTCTACGGCTTCGACTGTTACAACATGTTACAACCCTCACCTTGCTCTCAGCATGGTGCAAGGCATGTTCGGCACTTTGGCCGCCCTCCTCACTGTCCTGAGAGCACAGCATGAAGCCAACAGCATGTAGGCACCTGGGATATGTAACCCCCACCTCCAGACACCTCCAGACGGCCTCGAGTGAATTCACCATGGATCTGGGTATCTCCCAACAGAGCTAACCGCTGAGGCCGCTGAGGCCGCTGAGGCTGTCCTCCATGGAGATTTCAAAGCGCCCAGACTCAACCACCTCAGCCATCACAATCATCACACATGCTAAAAAACAGTCCTGTCCAGTCCCTTGGGGGGTGCGGAGGCAGCTGTCACTGCCACAGTCTTAGGCTGCAATTTGTCATCTTGAAACAAGTCCTCCACAGAAAGAATCACAAAAATGGCCTGGAGTCTAAAATGCTACCCAAGCGACATAGAAGTAGTCCGCCTGCAAGTCGCCTTCCACAATGATCCGCTGGCCTTCCTGGTCAAACAGCAACCAGCTATCAACACCCTGAGAGAAAGGGAAGCCAGTTTCAGGAATGCGAGCAGCATGAAACATGATAAAACATGAGAATGAGTCCCAAAAGTATGTTGAAAGCCTCCGGCTCCCCAGGATCCCCACACCAGCACCTTCACTTCCTCCTTCCACATCACATCCACAAAGGCTCGCAAGCGTGCCTACCAACTCACCCAGGGGATCCCAGGGGTCATGACGGGGTCATGGATGAGTCGGATGAGGATGGATCCCCATGAAAATTTGAAAGCTCACAGCTCACACTTCAGGCAGCGCCTCATCCAAGGTTGTCATGGTCGCCAGATTCTCGTTGCTCCTGGCGCGGCAAGTGCTGGAAAGGTGGGTGGAGTCCATAGCATCTGTGTGAACCACTGCTAGTGGGTTTGATTTGATTGGCGTGGATTAGATAAATCGCTAGGTGGACAAACAGACTCCTAGTATTCATAGACAAACTGACAAACGGACAAATAAACCAATAGAACTGGAAAATCAGGAGTGTCTATCATAAGTACACCTATAAAATCCGTATGTATGTTATTTATACATGTTTTTACCGTGTACAAATGCACAAACAACTTGGGCACATGCACATGTTCGTCCGTTCACCAAAAAATGCCGTGCCTCAAAGCCTCTGTGATCAAGGCGATGTCGTCGCTAGTTTTTGCAGTGGGTGGCTTGGCCTGGTCAGAAACTTCTGAGATGTAGCGATTGTTAGTCTATCACTACTGATATGGTGATGATGGTGATGATGGTGATGATGATCAAGAACAAGATGACTAAGTGACTTTCATTCAGGGATCATTCTCCATTGCCCCCAGCCTTCTGCGGCACGCCGCCACCACCACCCACAGCCCGGCGGTTCGCGAACTGCAGCTTTTCGTGAAGGCCTCAGTTCGTAAAATTCCGCATGGAGCGGAACCTGGGAGTCCTGGGACCTGAAACTGCAGAGTTCTGGAGAGTTTTCTGGGGAAGCTCTGGGGAAGTTATGGAAGTTATGGAATGTTATGGAATGTTATGAATGTTATGGATATTTTGATATATTTTGGATGTTCATGTTGCTCTTGTAGTACCTGCTCAGCAATGCAGATGTGTCGTTTTCTACATCTCTTCAGAGAATCATGATATATACAATCGGAGGATTCCAGCAAATAGTGAGGGTGGATCCCCAACATCCGGTCACCCCTTCCCTTCTGCCATTCTTGGTTTTGTTTTGCTATTTACTATCTTTACTGCCAGTCTTATATGAGCAACATTGAGCAACAAGGTCGCTTCAGCAGGATTCACCAGCAATCTTTTGAGTGATCTCCAGGATCTCCAGGTTATTTTGCCATAGATTGATGCTCACCATGCCTTCCTGCTTCCAATGTAAGTGTTTTGCGACACCTCGACCCTCCACCCTCACTGTGTCCCAGGGCCCAAGTCTTGGAACGCCTGGCCAGGCGTCAATGCTGAAGATCCAGGAAACCGAAGAACCATGGAGCCCCGCACTGGCGTACCAGTGTTTATAACCACCAATAACATCCAATAACCACCAATAATGGGATAGTAATTAATGGGATAGTACTGACCAACAATAATAATAATTAATTAATAAATAAAAATAAGAATAAGAATAATAATAATAATATTAAGATATATATATATATATACATAGTTTCGTGCATCATTCTTGTCATTTGATCCTAGACATCATGCCTCTATCACCAGGAACACCTCGCACTTGATGGTTCATCAAGAAAAACAAAAACAAGCAGAGCGCCGCCAAGGGAGCCACAACTACTAGCACAACCCCAACCCTCAACCCCAACCCACCCAACCTGCCCACCATCCCAGGGACCAACTGCCCTTTTAGCTAGCCTTCTGGGTGATTTTTAAGGTGCTGAGCATCGTATCAGCTCTGATGGTAGCAGTACGGGGTTCTGCACCTGAGCAGATCAGCACCCAACGGAGCAACAGCTGTCGTTCGTATCAGTTCCAAGCTTCTGGGCCGAGCTCAGACTGAGTCACTGAGCTTGGCACGCAACAAGGCTTTCTCTCCGAAGTAGTCCCCTGCCTGTGCAAAATGGGCAAAGTGGAGGGGAGTTGTGCTCCAACATGCTCCTAGAATCCAATGCTACAGATTGCAAGCAAGAGCCATAATATGCCTCTACTCTCAATGAAAGTCCTCTGACTCCAGAGAGGGTTCTTATCAAAACCATGTCTGAAGAGGCATCTGCTCTGTGTGCAGATGATCAAGAGCGATGTATTCTGGACTTGGGAGGAAATGGATCGCCAAAGCAGTGACCGGCCATGAAATGAACAAGAACTGGCTGGCAACCTTCGAGATACAAGCAACTAGTGCTTCTGACCCATCCAATTGCAGTGGCACTACTCTCTCATCGATCCAAACAGTCTGAAGAGAATAAAGAGGACTAGGGCCAGTGGGGGTGGCACACGAACCAAACGAACCATTAACATCATTGTGACATCATTGTGACATCATTAACATCATTAATGTCATTAATCATTGATAGCCATTGATTCATTGATGGCCCGGCAACTTCCAGCCTTCAGTCCTGCCACCTTCTTCTGGACCCCAGCCTCATCGGTGACCTGGATCAACTCTGGCAGGCTACTGCATAATATGTGTCTACATGATGTCTGCATTGTTACAATTGTTACATGTTAATATTGTGAATATGTTGAATGTAAGATTCTAAGATGATATGTATTACAGAGACAAACCGAATCCAAACCGACATGTATGTATCATAGGGATATGTATGTAGAGAGAGAGAGAGCAGAGGATCATGTAAATACTAATAATATGATGTATATACAAACATGATGTATATATGAACATGTGAACAAATGAATCCTTGTTCTGGATGTAGTTATCAATTGCGATACCTGTTATGCTAGTAATGCCGGACACTAATGGTGCATGGCAAGCGCAGCTCGGACCCTTTTCCTCGCACACGGACTTGAGCCAGTACGGCGTCCAGATATACAATCAAGTATGTATATCACAAGTGTCATAGTGTTCAGTTCCCTTTGACACCCCCCATGCCCGTGGTATTCTTCGAACCACGGACACGAGAGAGGGAACTTTGAATTAGATTGGTTCTGCTACTTGAATTACGCCTATGTACATAAAACATGCCATTCGGCTCCCCCTTCCCCACATACCCGAAGGGAATAATGGTTCAGGGTTCGCCTACTCTATGGCAGTCGATGCATTGGCGCTTCATCAAGCTGTACAACGCGAATTATTGCTAGCTAACATCTACTTTTCTACGTTGTCTAAGCTTGCCACTCACCCGTCGGGAGAAATGGGTCACTTCGCTACCAAAGATTTACGATGCTAACTAACGAATTCACGTGCACATTGCAGAATTTCGTGCAGATTGGGAATATCAAAAGTCTTGAACCTAAGCGAATTAGTCTACTGCCTCGCTCAGAGTCCACTCAGTTGGTCTTTTCCTGATCATCTGTTTACAAAGACGATACACATCTTGTAGTCCAGTGACCATTTTGACGGACAGAGGTAATGGTTCACTGCTCACGGCGGACTTTCTTCCATTGAGGTGCTGTTGGAGTTCTCTCCCATCCTGCCGCACGTTTCGGAGCAGCTTTCGGCGATGAAGGCTTTGCAGGCGGTGCCTTTGATGGTTCATGGGATTTCGGCATAGCCTTGCCCTTTGGTGCACTAGCCGATGAGGATGATGCTGAACCAGTGCCTTCAGGTGTCTGTGAAGGTTGCGCAGGTGGTTTAGCAAACTTGGAAGCTGCAGTATGTCCAACCGCTTTGAATACTTCACTCACCACTTCGTCGCCAAGGGTTGGAGCCATCTTCGTTTTCATCTCGGTCTTTCCCCTCTGCGCCTCGGCCTCGGCCAGCTGAATAGCATAAGCCATCTTGCTGACAAAGTTTTCAGGTAAAGGAATGCCACATTGTTGGGCGGCAAAGAGCAGTTCTACTCTCTGTTCTTTCTCCCTCAGGCTCAGATATACCGAGAAGGCTGGGAGTTCGATGCAGTTGGGGAAGCCGTGGCTCCCGGAACGAAAGAAGGTGTATGACTCGTGCTCCGGAAAGGTTCCTTTGAGCAGTCGTCGAAGGAAGTTGCTGATGGTTACTCGCATCTCCTGTTTCCCTTGGGCATCGGCCTGCATTCGGTTCATTGGCATGAGGAAACCCAATGATTCGGGAGTGTACCCGGCGCAGACCAGAAATTCCATCATCTTTTCATAGATCTCCAAATTCTTGATGACAGGCATCATCATGTTCCAGCTCTGTCGGCCGCTTGAGGTTGCCGTCCGGGTCTTCGCCTGTGTAGGGGCAGAAGTCGTCCAGGTCCAGCCGGACTCGCCTAGTTTCCGTCATCATCACATGGTACTCCTCTGGGGTCATAGTGACTCTCTGGTTATAGTAGTGCCTGAACATTGTGATGACCTTTGACATGACAGCATTGTCATACAAGTGAGCCGCGGCCTCGGAGACATCATTGTTGATAAGACCGTCTTCTGGCATACCCTTGCTGCCGCTCTCAAGATTCTTGGTCCATGCTGGAAGTTTGGTAGAGGGCTCATCATCAGGTTCGACGTCCATTTCATCATCGTCTTCTTCGATGATTTCGTCTTCTTCCTGTTGAGCTTCCTCCTCCTGATCCATTTCCTCATCGTCGCCTTCATTGTAGTCGACCTCGTCAGGATTGAAGCCATAGTCATTGGATTCGGATACGTTTTCTTGTGCTTGATTGACCGTATCCTTGAACAATGACTCTTCTTGTCGACGAACTTCTTCATCGAGCTCTTTCTTTGTGGCCTCATCTTCATCGTCTTCAGGAGCTTGTAGCCGATATGGACGAATCCCGCAACTTTCAAGTTCTGTCCAGCAAACTAGACACACTGCTAGCTTTGTCGGCGTCTCATTGATGCAGTGAGGACAACGGCGGCAACCTGAAGTTTGCACCCTTTTGCGTTCGACTATGTAGTCAATCAGCTTGATGCGGGCCAGGTATTGTTCTTGTCCGCCAGGCTCGATGAGGTTGTTCTTGAATTGGTTGACGATGTTCATGGCATCCATGGCAATCTCGTCAAACGGTTGGTCTTCGGCGTCGATGCACTGACTTGCAACTCTTAGGATGGACTCCTTGGTGGCTACCGTTCTTGATTTGATAGTTCCAGACCGGACTACCTGGTCGTCGCCCGAAGGGACGAACAACCGGAGCCATGTCTTGTTGTATTGATCCTTGGGGTCCTGAATCCATCCTCCTTTGATTGCTGAGAATGGGATGATCCTTGGTGAAACGATCTGTCCCGAGTCAGTTAGTCGACCGCCATATTCCACCATCAAGGTCTCGGTCGGGATGAACAAGCATATGTAGTCACCCTTACGCGTATCAACGCTCTTCGTGATGGTCCATGATCTGTGATCCCATGGGACGTACGGGTTGAAGAACGTGAACATCCGATGACCTTCTCCAAGACCTCCTGGAATTAATCCTTGCCTCCAGATGCTTCGGAGGTTGGTCTTCTTGGTGATGTGGAAACAAACCGGTAATGACAAAACAGTGTTGGGTGCGATTGGATGCGAAAGCAGCGAGGACAGCGATGAAACGTCGTCTCTTGAAGATCCTTCTTTGTGCCCCGTAGGAGCACGAACCGCCACTGGATAGAGCAGTAGACCTTCATCAGGGATGTGCGTATCCGCATCGACATTGTTGTCAATGCACGTCAGGCTGCGGCGATCAATATCCTTGTTGATCCCAAATGCCAAAACTTGTTCACGCACACGACGTCCATACCTGGCACAGTGGAACATGATCTTGAAGAGCAATGTCATGCGAAAGTTCGCCTCATTGACATTCCATGCACTCTGATCATTTGCTCTTCCCTTTGGGGCAAGGAATACGTGTGGCCAGCGTGCATAATCGTGCCTCCAGATGGACTCACATTTGAGCACTTCCTCGATGGGCACCCAGCCGGCGTCATCACAGGGCAGACTCTGCTGCTCTGATACCTTCCCCACATTGTGCCGTAGGATCCTGTTCAGTGAGGCACTCACCTTGTCCTCGTAGGTGTCGAGTCGATTGCCAGTTTCGAAGCGGTAGTTGGCCGCATATTCTACGCCGCCAAAGTAGGAGCAATTGAAGAAATGGGCCCCTGTTGTTGGGATGATTTTCAAGAAACCATCTTGCGGCGCCTCGACACGTCTGTAGAAGGTCTTCCTGATGTTGTTGTCAGAGTAGCTTGCCATGAAGTCTGGCACTGACCAAGTGTCACCTCCTCCTCTGACGATAGCGTCTCGGATCACTTCGTTGAGGTCAACAACGTTCTGTGGTCCCAGCTTTGTAACATCACGCCCTTCAATGCAGAATTTACCATACTCATCGAGGTCACCAACTTCAGACATAGTTCTGATGCTGTCATACCATTGGTGTTCGCTAAACCTCGGTTTTGTAGGTTCATCTGTTTGCCCCGACCCTTCAGTAGCACCTGAACCGTCCTTCTTGTGCTCAGGAGGCTCCATATCGACGTCATCAGATGTGGGACTATCAGCCTCGAGCGAAGCTCGGACGGCCTTTAGCACTTTTCTGACTTCATCTCTCTTCTCATGTTCACATTCAAGATGGCCATGTTTGGTGCTACCACAATACAAGCACACGTTGACATCCTCAGAGACAGTGAAGAGTTTTCCCAACGCATCCAAAAGTTGTTGTTTCCCCGACATCTCTGAGTCCCTGACCACATCAGTGGGATCGTTCGCTGGCTCATCAGCTTCCTCCTCCCCAGGGTGAGCCGAAGACTCGTCACCTGGCTTGGCATCGGCATCAGCGCCCATGCTGGCGTCATCCTCTGTGATGTTGTTCTTCCTGCGATAATGAGAGAATACCTGATCCTTCTCCCATTCTGTGAGGCAGCAGAAATTGGCCAGCGAGTCATATCCGGGGATTGCATGGATGATCTTCATGACCCTCTCGGCTTCTGCGGTTTGCAGTGTGCAGTCGAAGGATCCCCGTCTCTTGTCATTGATGGTGCTTGAGGTTCTTGATGTCGATGTGAACTGAGCCAATGCCTTTTCCAACCCATTGAGATATTCAGCTGGATCAACACTGGCATTGAAAACATCAACAACTCCTTTGGCCATATTGGCCACATCCAAGACACCAAGCCAGAATTCGATGATATCTCCAGTTTTCTCGGCAGATGCACGGGAGAATCCAAAGATCTCGTTCCTCTCCTTCACCTCGGGAACGGCGACCTTCTCGAAGAAGTCTTTGTATGCGACATTTCCGCAATCCTTTGTTACTCTGTAGATCAATATCCACTTCTTCGCGACTTCATCAAAAACTCTTTCGCGATAGATGCTGAATTGCTTGCCGCGTCCGTTCCGGAAAATTTCCAGAGCTTGCCTCTTCGAAATTCTGACTCCTCCCATGTGAGATAGAGATTTCATCAAATGCTCCCCATACGCCAACGATGCGTTTGAAATCAACGAAGACGCAGTAAATGTGAGCCAGGTTTGAAATCCTTGATTGATGTCAACAATGTCAACACCAAGATCCTCGAATGCAACCTTCAATCTGGCCGCAAGGAGCAGGACGGACTTT